ACGCAAACTCTAGCATATTCAAATCTTTCTTTCGTAGCCGTAAGCCCGTCGGAGCATATTGGGACACCAATCGATGAAACCATCTTACTAAGTACGCTTTCAGACCAAAGGTGAAGTCGAAGCTTTGGAAATTTGATCCACAGGGGCAGCGACTCAATATTGTATTTATCAATCGGGAGATTAGGAGTCCAAATTTGAAGTATTAACGCATGCTCATAATATGACCAAGGGCCAGCATCAAGGACTTCCATTAGATCAGATTGATTTTCAAATTTAAAGATAAAAACACCATCATATAGCTTATGCACTGACCTCAGTCCAAGGTGAGACATTTACGCGTTGCAAAATTCTGGATTTGAAAGAATCGGGGCGTTAATCCCGCTACGAAACCAACCAAAGAGTGATCCCATTCGTGGAGACCCTCATTCCATTCATCTAGGTCCAGTTGTATCTCGTCACACGAGAATTGTTGTTTAACAAACTTGAGTTGTAATCTAGACCTCTTGTCCCGGTTATGCGCAACAATTTTGACCCAAGAATTCTCTGTAATTTTGTTGCCAACTTGGTCGGGAGCAGTTGTAATTTTCTTTCTTTTTTCTTTTTTTTTGAATTCCAAACGTTCATTAATAAACATCAGCTGTCAAAGAGATTTGTTTGCAGGCACAACTTAGCTAACCTGTGTGCACCCTCAACAATTTCTCTATCTACCTTAATAACCTTACATCTAGTAAAACATGAAAGACACATCCTAATATAGTTAACCAAGAGAGAGATATGCCTAGGACAAGTTTTATATCTCTGAATGTAATCCACCACATTTTAATTGTCACTTTGTAACTGTACATCCTTTATACCCAAAGATATTGCCCCTTGAAGTCCCCTTAAGCAAGCTCTCGCTTCTGCATCCTCTGCTGACTCAGCATAGAAAGGATCCGCTCCCGAGGTTATATATCGCCCTTGATTTGTAATAATTTCCCAAGCCCCAGCTCCTCTGTTTCCATTTTCTTGGAAAGCCCCTTCCATTCTGATATAAAACTCGCCCCTCATTTGTGCCGCAGAATTTGTCTTTACTTTATAATGTTTTCCTATTGTAACTCTCTGCCATGTGGTGCTCGGAACACTCTTGTTTAAATCTACCAGTCTGCTATCGCCAACTGTTGTACCATGCCTGGCTCTTGAACTTGTGACTCCCATACTGCTTTATTTCTTGTCAGCCATATTTGCTAGAAAAGAAAAAACGATTGTTGAATCACTTCCACATCTGGCGCCGAGATAAGCCACTCCTCAAACCATGTTACCAACGAAATTCTATTGCCAGCACTGAAGGTTATTAATCTATCCCCTTTCCTAACCACCCTTACTACTTAATCTATGAATAATGAATCCACTACAATACCTACCCCATTCCTATTCCTATCTTTCTCATTCCTATTCCTATCTTTCTTACTATACTAAAGTTTGTACCCCGTGTTATCTAAAACTTTGGCCTTTTCACCCACCCATTTAGTCTCTTGCAAACACATTATATTGACCCTCTTTCTTCTCATACATTCTATTAGCTCTATAGATTTACTTGTTAAGGATCCTAGGTTCCAACTCCCTAACCTACAAGTCTTATCATTTTTAGGATTATTCTTAGGTTACACAGGTGGCGTCCTAACATTTACACAATTTCTTATATAATCCATACTCATGAGAATGACGAAGTTTTTTAATGCTGGCTGCGAATCTAACGTAAACCCTGTTCCTTTACACAGGCTTGGGACAGTCAACGATAAGCTCTCAAGAACTATCGAACCATAGAGTTTACCACATGCGGAGTTATTAGGATGAAGAAAATGGAAGACAACGGTTGAACGATTCGAAAGAAAATAACAATTGGACCAAAGTTCTTGAAAAAGATTTTCTTCTTTTCTTTTATTTATTTCCCACCTCAGGAATTAAAAAAGAAAAACAAACATTAATTGATGACAAAATGATGAGAATACAGTCTTCTAGTCTTTATTTTGCTTTCAAAATTTGTAGAAGTCGTATATAGAAAAAATCAAATCTTTCCCGCACAAACTTTGAGGCTTGGACAAATTTTTGTGATAATAATTAATAAATTACGGATTGGAAATATATAGTAGACTAATAAGGTTGAATTATCATTACCTAATATGAGTTAATTACTAGGTAAAAAAGAAAGAATTTACTATCTTTTAATCTTTTTAAAACGTCATAATGGTGGGAAACGGAATCTAACAATCATCATGATTATTGGCTTTATTTATTTATTTATTAATTAACAATAACATAGAATTTTCAAATTTCGGGCTTGAAGCCCTGTTTCAAATTTTCTTATGTATAAATTAAAGTACATTCTTTTATATTGGGATTTCTGCATTCATGTGAAATTCATTATTTTTTGGAAAAGGGACAAAAACCCCCCTGAGTTATGTCCAAAAGATAAATTACCCCTCGACATTTTATATAAGGACAATAACCTTCCCTACCATCAAGTCAAAGGACAATTTGTCTCCTGCATCAGCAAATCTTAGTGCGAAAAGATAAAAATACCCTTAAATCTAAAAAAAAATTACACCAAACCTACCCTTCAACCAACTCATTTATTTTTTTAAAAAAATTATAAATTCTAATATCGGCCATTTAAATCTGTCGCTGACTCCGTTTTGATGCATTATTTTTTCCTATCATTGCCGCCTCAATAAAAGTGCATGCGAGATTGAGAATTGGTTTTGATAGATTGAATTCTCAATCTCGAGCTTATACAATTTATGATTTTGATAGATTGAATTCTCATTGGGTTTATTTTTATTGAGGTGCAATGGTAGGGAGAAATAATGTATCAAAACGGAGTCAGTGGCGGATTAATCAGAGCCAAACTATTTAAGAGTTTTTTTAAAAAAATAAACAAATTGATTGGAGGGTAGGTTTAGACTTGAAAAAGATTATTTTTAGATTTAAGGGTATTTTTGTCTTTTTGCACTAAGGTTTACTGATACAGGGGCAAATTGTCCTTTGACTTGGCGGTAGAGGGGTTATTGTTCTTATATGAAATGTCGGGGGACAATTTGTCTTTTAGACATAACTCAGGGGGGTTTTTTGTTCTTATCCCTTATTTTTTTTAGACAAAATAGTACAATGAACAAAAAAGGAAAATGAAAAGAAGAATAGCAAACTATGAAGAGCCTTTAAAAAATAGACTCAACTAAATATCTTTGTTAACTTAATCATATCCCTTACAAAACATAGGTTGCATGTAAAAATATTTCAACTGCCCATTTGTTGGTGTCCTCCCATAACCAAGCCTTTTGCTGGGTTAATGTTCTTCATTGGCATAAATATCTTCAGCATCGCAAGTCGCTACATGCTTAAACTCAGCACTTTAATACGACAAAAGCAAAAAATAAACCATGCGAATATTCAAATTCAATTACATTAAAGAAAGGGGATAACCTTAAGCCAAAGAAGAAAGATGGGGGAGAGGACACATAAAATGAAGCTTAAGAAATACAATCATTATTACTGTATTCAAAAAACAAATTATTTGTTTATTATGTATGTGTATTGATCACCAGGAAAGAAACACAACGGAAATAGCCTATGGTTTTCCTCCATCTCCCCATTAATTTTTCAGTTTGGAAGGGTGTCTCTCTTATATTCAGTTTGGAATATAAATAGAAAACGTTAGATTCAATACGAGTATGACTGTTTGAGTCATAAAAACTCTGCTCTGACGCAAATTAGCTCTATTTTATTATTTTTTTTTAAAAAAGAAAAAGTTAGGGGAGGTCTACTTTATTGTTTGTATACCTGATTTTCAGAAAATCAAAGGACAAACATATATTAACGGTTTAGGTGAGACCAATGAAGACCAAGATTGAATTCTTATTTAGCTTACGAATTTCAAGTGAGTTATATGATAGTGTTGCTTTGTTAAAAAAAATAAAAATTAGACCACATCGAATTTCAAAATTTAGAATAGTTTTCAGAGTACAAATTTTGAAATTCAATGTGATCTATTTTTTTTTTTGGGAGACATGGAATATTATTTATATTTTTAGAAAAGAATAAATTGGCAGAGTTCAACATAAATATTGGACACAGTTTCCAATGATTTTGATGAGGATAAAAAAGATATTGGTTGCATTTTACTAGTCAGTAATACATGTAATTGCCGCGGTTGCTCGAGAATTTAGAATTGGCTAATGACTGATGCAAGTACTGCTCTCAAGGGCAGAGGGAGAACACAATGCTCATGATCAATGTTGAATAAAGAATAATGTCCAAATTCGATTCCGTTGAAACTAAAATTTTTTAATTTTTATTAAATTCTAACTCAGGTTTAGGATGCTAGTTGAAACCATATGTTAAGAAAAAATTAACATTTTTATTTAGTTGGCAAATTAAGTTACTTTTTTCAGACCCTAACTGAATTAAGAAACTTAAATTCATACTCTAACATAGTACGCGTGTTAGTAAACCCTAACCTAATTTAAAGAGAAAGAATAGGGGAAAAAAAAAGGTTCGAATTGATCTTCACCTGAACAGAGATATGTTGACTGTACGTTGAGTAATTTTGTCATGAATCATGACTAAAAAACAAAGGGAGGGTGAAAAAAAAAAGAAAAGAAAGAACACATATTATAGTATAAAGTTATGCTAGCTAGTAGCAAAGGCTCACAAGGGTCAAAAGTATTCAAACATGACTTGGACAAGAAGTACAGTACTACGCCCCAAACGGTTAAAGTTACTGCAGAGAGAAAATAAAAAAAAAAATGATACATAATACATTTATAAATTTATACTAGCTAGCATTTATAAATTTATACATTTATAAATTTAGACCAAAAAAAAAAGAAAAAAAAAAGAAAACATTATATACGCTAGCATTCAATTATTAAAACATTTATACGTCAATCAGTCAAAGGCGAAGCAGGTGGCCACTGGCTATATATATAGTTACTTCACTCTTTCATCCACACTATCCCATTTCCAGTATTCATAAATCCACCCCAAGTACTAAAAATTTCTACAGCAAAAGAAAAAACCACAATGGCTTTCAATCCCAATGAATTGCCACCAGGCTGTGGTTTTCATCCCACGGAGCTTGAGATTATCACCATTCTGAGGAACAGGGTTTTAAGCCAACAGGGTTATCCAGGGGTCCTGGAGAGAAACCTTTATGGGCCTGATGCTACTCCCTGGCTCATCCTGAGCGAGGAAGATGGGACCATTCCTTGGCAGCGTGTAGGGAATGCCGTAGACATCGGCAAGAAGGTATATGTGTTTACCGTGGCTCCCAGGCTGGGGAATGGGTCACAAAGAGACCGTTCCGCGGGCTGCGGGTCTTGGGTTCCCCGTACTGGTCCGAGGAACGTGATGGATGGAGGAGGGCTTCAGGTTGGGACTCGCAGGTCTCTCAGTTTCCAGCCCAGGACCGAGCAGTACGGCAGAGACCGTTGGGTGATGCATGAATATGAGCTTGACGATAGTCAGCTCAACCCCGGCCAGACCACTGATTTGGTTCTCTGTCGGGTCGCTAAGTACCCGGATGTCGAACCCCAGATTCCCGACTTGAATTTCGCTGAAGAAGATAATTAGCTCCGACTCTCTGGTGGGTTCTGCACGGATTGATCAGTGACTTCTCTTTCTCTTGAGAAGGGATTTCAATCCTTTTACGACCATAATTTGAAGGAGGAGTACTAGTAGTTTTTCTTAAAGTATGTTTAATTAGTGGGATTTCCAAATCTTGTACTACTAGCTTCTTGAGGTTTGGGATTTCCTAGTTATTGTTGTTGCTATTGTGTGTGTGTGCGTGTTTTTTTCCCCCCTTTTTTTCTTTTTTTTTTCTCCTGATGTTTCTCTGTGTTGATCGTCAACTAGTAGTAATTTGGATGGAGTTAATTAATGGTGTCCCGCTTGTACTACTGTCCAGTATTTTACCTAATGATATCTTATCTAATCGTCGCGCCTTCTCTAAAACCGATTTGTTCATGATTTTTTTTGGCGGATTTGTCATTGAGCTACATGAACTTTTTAACATGATTGTCGTCGTACTAGTTTGGTGTTAATTTGTTGGCTCGTCACTACACAATTGATTGTCATAAATCGTTAAAAAATTGGGTTTGCTATCTATTATGAAATTGATGTTATATACGGTGTAGTTGTGTAGTACTTCCGAAAATTAGCATGGCTCTTTCGATCTTCGACTTGCAATTGGATAAATTACTTACCTGTCTTAATCTCGTAATTTGATTTTAGTGTGATTTCAAGTTAATCAAAGTGAATTCAGTTCAGATATGATGTAATGTAAGAGACCAAGACCAATAATATGATTCTTTTTTCCTTAAAGACCAATAATATGATGTATCTTTCGAGTTCAGGCAAATAAATGAGCACCAATCGAAATATATATAGGAGACTAAGGCTCTGTTTATTGTGTTTCTATTGGCTTCGCTCTACATCATTTTGTCCGTTTTAGAGTTTCGTTTCCGGTATGGGTTCTACCGTTTCTATTCTAAAATGACAATTCTATCTATTTAATTGTTTTCGATATGAGTTCTACGGTCTCTATTCTAAAATGACAGTTCAATCTATTTAATTTTTACGACACAGTCGGATCCTGCGGCGCGTCACGTACAACGGGTGGCGTCCTAACATTTACACGATTTCTTATATGATCTATATTCATGAGAATGACGGAGTTTTTTAATGCTGGCTGCCAACATAACGCAAACCCTCCTCCTTTACACTGGTCTGGGATAGTCAACGATAAACTCTAGAGAACTAATGAACCCTAGAGTTTACCACAGGCGGAGTTTGATGAAGAAAATGGAAGACAACGGTTGAACGATTCGAAAGGAAGTAATGATTGGACCAAAGTTCTTGAAAAAGATTTTCTTCTTTTCTTTTATTTATTTCGCACCTCAGGAGTTAAAAAAGAAAAACAAACATTAATTGATGACAAAATGATGAGAATACAGTCTTCTCGTCTTTATTTTGCTTTCAAAATTTGTAGAAGTCGTATATAGAAAAAATCAAATCTTTCCCGCACAAACTTTGAGGCTTGGACAAATTTTTGTGATAATAATTAATAAATTACGGATTGGAAATATAAACTAGACTAATAAGGTTGAATTATCATTACATAATATGAGTTATTTAATTACTAGGTAAAAAAGAAATAATTTACTATCTTTTAATCTTTTTAGAACGTCATAATGGTGGGAAACGGAATCTAATAATCATCATGATTATTGGCTTTATTTATTTATTAATTAACAATAACATAGAATTTTCAAATTTTGGGCTTGAAACCCTAGTTTCCTTGTCAAACTGTGAATAGATTATCAAATCAGAGTAGGAAACTGATAAGAAACCATCTTATATATACATAATATATTCTTATGGATGCTTTTTAGTTGCTTCCCAAGTTTGTTTCGCCGGAGAGGTTTCCTTTTTCTTACGTTTAAAGATTTATTATTAGCACTACTATTGGCGGAAGAAAAAACAAAAGTTATGGCGCTGAGGACGATGTCTGAAGTCAGAAAGCTAGGCTATCATTTCTTTCCGACGATAGACGTGATCCTGATGTACCTGAAGGAAAAAGCAACCGGAAATCCATTCCCGGCACTGTGTCCGATCGTCGAAAAGGATCTCTACGGCGATCATGCAACCCCATGGGTTATATTGAAAGAAGATAAGGATGATGCCAATAATCCTTGGGATAGCGAGGTCGCTGATAAGTATTTTCCCAACCTTCCTGATCCTCGTCTTGACAGCAGAGTTATTTACGTCATCACGCGGGTTCCCAATGCCGCCGCCGGAAACGGCGGAAATAATAACAACAACAAGGTCATGGCTGCTGGTTGCGGAGCTTGGCATGAGACGAGTCAACCAAAATTTGTTAAGAACAAGGATGGCGTCATCATCGGAACCATGAGAACCCTAGAATTTAAGTCGGGATCTGCCGAAACGACGACCGTTGATCGGTGGGTTATGGAGGAGTATGGACTTGCCGGCGTTTTGCTTTCCCCCGGAGTTAGTACGGATTATGTTATTTGTGAAATTACAAAATCCACACCCAAGAAAGCCGAGGGTGGCGGTTCACCTCCTTTTTCCAGAAGTAAATTATAAGGCATTAAGGCCCATCTCCACGCTACTTCCTCAGTCCTAATTAATTTTAATATACAAATTTATTTTAGTGTATAATTAAGATTAGATGGAGTATGTTTTTTCATGGATATTATTTTTTCAGCTTTCAATGCTTAATTTGCCTCCTCTATTTGTTCTCCTACATGCCTTTACTTAATGTCCATTCATTTTTAGATTAAAATATAGATTGAATTTCGCAACCAGAAAAAAAAAAAAAAAGAAATAGTAGAGAGGTCTAAATACTATGCTTTTTTCATGGAGATTGATTTTGTTTTCTAAATTCTACTAACGCATTTTTATTTTTATTTTCTTTTATCGTGAATTAGTTGTTATTAGTTGTTGAAGATGATGAACTCGATCGTGTTTGGAGCTTATCACCTGATAGGAGAAAATTAATGCACCAATCTAACATAAAAAATTAATAACCGAGTCCCTCACCTCTTACGAATATCCCAGTTCAGTTCAGTCATCATATATTCATATCGATTCTCCATACAATAATAACTAGATGTTGCCAATGTGATGCACGGGATAATAGCACATAGTTTTAATAATTTCTTATGTATAAATTAAAGTACATTCTTTTATATTGAGGTTTCTGTATTCATGCGAAATTCATTATTTTTTTTGGAAAAAGGACAAAAAACCCTTGAGTTATGTCCAAAAGACAAATTGCCCATCGACATTTCATATAAGGACAATAACCCCTCCTACCACCAAGTCAAAGGACAATTTGCCCCCTGCATCAGCAAATCTTAGGGCAAGTTTTTTATCTCTAAATGTAATCCACCACATTTTAATTTTCAGTTTTTAGCTACAATCCTGTATACCCAAAGATATTGCCCCTTGAAGCCCCCTTAAGCAAGCTCTCACTTCTGCATCCTCTGCTGACCTAGCATAGAAAGGATCTGCTCCCGAGATTATATATCGCCCTTGATTTGTAATGATCTCCCAAGCCCCAGCTCCTCTGTTTCAATTTTCTTGGAAAGCCCCTTCCGTTCTGATATAAAACTCGCCCCTCATTTGTGCCGCAGAACTTGTCCTTCCTTTATCATGTTTTTTTGTTGTAACTCCCTGCCATGTGGTGCTCGGAACACTCTTGTGTAAATCCGCCATTCTGCTATCGCTAACTGCTGTACCACGCCTAGCTCTTGAACTTGTGACTCCTAAATTGTTTTATTTCTTGTCAGCCATATTTGCCAGAAAAGAAAAAGCGATTGTTGAATCACTTCCACATCTGGCGCCGAGATAAGTCACTCCTCAAACCATGTTACCAGCGAAATTCTACTGCAAACACTGAAGTCAAAACCCAAGTATGAACTCCTCTATATCCTCTGTGAGTGTTCACAATCCATGAAAATGTGTTGGGTATTTTCTATCTTTTTCTTGCATCTCATGCAAAACCTGACATCGTAACTCCTCTCCTATTCAAAGCTACAGTAGATAGTAAAGCGTGATTCAACATTCTCAAAAGCAACCACTGAATTTTTGCTGAAACACGCACCGACCAAAATTTCTTCCATGCCGTTGTACTGAGCTCATTCTGTCCAAAATGCATTTTCCCATAAGTACTCTGAGGTTCCCTATTTTTGGCTTCATGATAGCCAGTTTTAACCGTGTAAACACTTCTAGTGGTCTTCGACCAAACTCCGTCTCTCGGCAGAACTGGAACCTGTGGGATATACATAGACAGAATTTTCACAGCTACCTCCGGCGGGAAATCACTTTTACTCAACGTAGCACGCCACTTTCTTTGTTGGTACCATAAATCTTTGGCCCACCAGGTAAACATATTCTGTTAGAAAGTAGGATTTTTGTTTAGCGGGTTTTGCAAATCTGGAATCCATTCGTCCTGAATTTTCATACTCTGCCCATTTCCAACTTGCCACTTTAATCCCCTTTTAAGTAAATCTTGGCCCCATAGAATACTTTTCCATCCCCAAGATGCTGACTTCGGTATCGGGCATTCCATAAAATCTATACCTTTTGCATATTTTGCTAGAAAGATTCTCGCAAAAAGCGAGTCTTTATTGTCAAGAATTCTCCACGCGAACTTCGCTAGGAGTGCCTGGTTCATCTCTTGTGATGTTCAGAAACCTAATCTTCCTTGCAATTTTGATTTACATAGATGATGCCATGACTTCCAGTGGATTCCTCGTCCCTCTTTGTCTCCATTCCAGATAAAATTTGCCACTACCTTATCAATTTGCTTAGTTACATGTTTTGGGAGCATAAAGGCACCCATCATATAAATTGGCAAAGTTGATAATGAGTGTTTGCAGAGCCACTCATCCTATCATTGATAAAGTTTTGTTTTTCCAGGAAAGCAGTTTTTTCTTCATTTTCTGAATGATGTCTCCAAATAGCAGCGACTTCTTCTTCATGAAATCTAAGGACAGACCTAGATATTTCTGTTGACAACCTTGTAATGGAATCCTTAGCCACGATGACATCCACTCTTTAAAATTCTTGGACATATTTGGGCTTACCATAAGCAAGGATTTTCCAAAGTTTATTTTTTGTCCCAAGTTACCAGTGTACCAACTCAACACCTCACCGAGAGCCCTAACATTTCACCTTGTAGTCTCCATGAAAATTAGACAATCGTCTGCATACATGAGATGTGACAATCGTGGGGTTGTAGCTGCCAACTTTATCCCGAAACCTCCTAACTGTTGATCCAGATTCATTAACGCCAAAGAAAAGGCTTGCTGAAAAATAATGAGGAGATACGAGGAAATAGGAAACCCTTGTCGTAGACCTCGGCAGGGAGTAAAATAGCTAGACTGATCACCATTTACACAGGTAGCAAAAGTCACTGTCGACAAACACTTCACAACAAGGGTTACAAAGCTTGCTGGAAACCCATCTTCTCCATCTCTTGTTGCAAGAAAGGTCACGCTACTCGGTCATAAGCCCTACTCATATCAATCTTCAAAACTGCTACTCCTCTCCTACCCTTCTTCCTCTTTCGAGTGTACTCCACCACCTCATGAGCGAGCAGAATATTCTTACCTATGTATCTGCCAGGTACAAATCCATTCTGACCCTCTGATATAATATGAGGTAACACCTTTTTTAATCGGTTCGCCAGAACTTTTGCCACCACTTTGTACTTGACATTGCTTAAACTAATGAGGCAGTAATTTGCGGGAGTCTTTGGGTTTCCAATCTTCGGGATGAAAATGACTCTAGTCTGATTCCATTCACTATCCCATTTGTGACAGTTTAAAATATTAAGGAAGCACCTCCTAGCTTCCTCTCTGATGATGTCCCAAAATCTTTGGTAAAAGCCAGTCGGCATACCATCCGGGCCCGGTGCTTTCCAAGGAGATATTCCTTTGATTGCATTCTCAATTTCCATGATCATAAAAGGTTCTTCCAGAGACTGTTTCTGTTCCGAAGTGACCCCTCTTCTATCAAATGCGTAAAAGACGGCGGTGGGTCCCAATGGTCATCCTCAGCTACGAAGTCTTCCCTTTCCATCAATGTCAATTGAAAATGTTGCAACATCAGAGCACATATTTGATTCTCATCATAACACCATCTACCATCTGAATCCAAGAGCGCTCCAATCCAGTTCCGCTCATTTCTTTGGGTAGCCACTTATGGAGATTTTGTTGAGGGGAATACACATGCAAATTTGCACCAATAACTGACTCTGTTTCATCACCCGATTAAAGCCTTAAAGAGAAACACTTTCTTCTTGCAACGCCAAAATCCCCGAACCCTAGTTTTCTCTCCCTTCTTCTCTCGCACGAAAAACTAGTATGGCTGCTGCTTTTTGCTTGTGCAAAACTCACGGCCAAAAGCCACCAAGGATCATGGGATTATATAGCCCACGGCGTAATCAAAAACTAGTTCAAATTGGACTTGGTTTTTTTTTTTCCTACTTCGGTCAAACAAACCAAATCCAGGTTGGATTTTGGTTTCATTATGCTGGGCCCAATTGAGGGGAATAATAACCGACCAAACATTTATTTATTTCATCTGATATATAGTTATAAGAGAGAAGTGAAAAAGCTATGGAGATGACGATTTCTCAACTCAGAAGCCGATATTATCGTTTCCGTCCAATTCGAGAGGAACTTCTGATGTACCTCAAGGATAAAGCAACCGGGAATCCAATCCTGGCGGGGTGTCTGTTCATCGAAAAGGGTCTTTACGGCGATCTTGCGACCCCATGGGTTATCTTGAAAGAGGATGAGAATGATCCCAACAATCCTTGGGACAACGACGTTGCCAATAGGGTTTCACACAGTTCTCCTGATCTATCTTGCCAGTAGAGTTTTTTACGTCTTCACGAGGATTCCTGAGGCCGCCGCCGCCAGAAACGGAGGAAACAACAACAACAAGGTCATGGCTGCTGGCTGCGGAGCTTTGTATGAGACAAGTAAATCAAGATTTGTTAAGAACAAGGATGATGTCATCATCGGAACTATGAGAACGCTAGAATCCAAATCGATGAACCGCTGAAACGACGACCGTTGATCGTTGGGTTATGGAGAAGTATGGACTAGCCAGTGATTCGCTCTCCCTCGGAGTTAGCTCGGATTATGTTGTTTGTAAAATTACAAGAACCAAACCAAAGACGGCCAAGGGTGGCGGTTCACCTGCTTTTACTAGAAGTAAATTATAATCAAGCTAGTGGAAGAGGGGTCCATCTCCGTATTACTTCTTTCGGTTCTAATTATAATGCACTAATTTAAATTAATTTTAGTGTGTAATTAAGATTAGGGGAAGTATGTTTTTCCATGGATACTGATTTTCTAGTTTCGACCTAATGATATATTTTTTCAGCTGTGATCTTCTGATTTTATCGTCTCTTGTTTATTCTCCTACATGCCTTTAATTAATCTCCATTGATTTTTAGATTAAACATTTATTGAATGAAGTATATGATTAGTATAGTACGCAATACTTTCTATTTGACTACCGAAAACTTGTTTACTGCCATAATAGATGGTTTTGCCACTCTCATTTTTTTCCACCCCGGATTTTAATGTTTCATGTCTTTCACCGCTCATTGAGAATATAATTTTGTGGTTTTTGGCTTCACTAGTGGCTAACACATTTGGATTCGCCCCCACCGAGTATAACCATGACTTGTCGGGGTTACATACCCAAGACAAATGGTAATTTAGTACATGGCCTTCTTGGCCAAATAAAGAAAAAAAAAAAGGGAAAAAAAAAGTCCAAAAATAAGGAGGGAATCCATTAACTCCTCGGTGAATCCGGTTCTAATCTTGAATATACAGTTTGAAGTTGGACACCGACGTTTAAAATTTTGTATCTAACTTGTACGGTCCAACAAAATTCAATTCGATATTGTATGTCAGAATCAGGTGTGCAAATATATAAGTATCATTTTAAGATACTACTACAATAATAAGAAAAATAATTTCTTCGAAACAAATAATGTAATTCTGATCGATTAAATACATACTTGGAAAACAATTGAGTCTTCACTTAAAAAAAAATTTAAAAAAAAAAAAGGAAAGGAGAATTCTCTTCTAATTGCATGCAAACATCACTGCTTCTCCAACTAGATTTAGTAGGAAGAGCAACCGCGCGCATCACTCCGGCGCCTTGGGCGACCTGATTCTACATATAACATAATCGGTGCAATCTCCGGGGGAGAGAAGTTCGCCGGCGAGTGCATACTCATCCATAACCCAATTATTACCATTCCGAATCGTGGGTTTCAATTCCATGCTTCTCTTTCTTCCGATGATTACACCTTCCTTATTCTTTGACAAATCTTGCTTCAATCGTCTCATTCTCTCCGTTCCCGACGACCTCGGGATTCCTCCTCGTGATAACGTAAATAACTCTGCGCGCTGGATCGTAGCTGGGGAAGGAAGAACCTGGTAGATAGTCCCAAGGATTCAGTTGGGTAGCGAAATCGTCGTTTTCGATTATAGGACAGTTTTCTGGGACTGGATTCCCTATTGCTTTGTTCTTGAGGTACAGAAGAAGTTCTTCTTCCGTCTGAACGAAATAACAGCCTTCCAAGCGAGCCATCATCGGGATTAATATTTGCGCTCTGTTTATATCTTATTTTTATATAATATATGGGATTGTTCCTGTTTTCTAGCTAAGCGATCATAGTATCCTATTACGAATAGGTTTTGTGGGTTATTATTTGCAACATAAGGCGGATTCTCTACTATTTTTGGAGTACTAATAGATAACATCTAAATAGATGCTAGCTATTTTTTGTATAATGGGGTAAATAAAAGGATTAAATGTGAAAAACATAATACCCTATCACATTATATCATCGGATTCCAATGTCGATTCTTTTAGAGTTTTTCTTTTATATATACTAGTATTTACCCCGCACAACAGTTCAAAAATAATTTTAATGATATAAATTATAATTGTGTAATTTTGAATATCAATATGTTTTGTTATTTTAAATATATTTGGAATAATTTTCAATACTTGAAATTGTCCAATATAAATTATTGTCCATCTTTTTCTTTTTGTTAATTTACGGTTTCATATCTTTTAAAAGTATTCTCTCAATTTTTTATGATTTCCTTAAACATTTTTATCTATGTCATATCTTTTAAACTCTTCCTATAACGGAAAGTTTTGTCATTATTTATTTATATAAACTTATCGTTATTTTTCATTTTCCTATATACCTTTTGCAACATTTTTTTAGAAGTTTGTTCGTACATTTTTTCCTATAATATAGTGTTTTTTTTTTTCTTGGTTGCATAGTATTCGACTTTTTTTTTGATGACTTCTCTTGAACGTTTCATTTCTTGAAAAATTTGTTATGATTATTTCATTTTTCACTATTATCTTGGTTCCTATTTTCATATTTTTTTAATTCTCTACATAATTTTTTATCGATAGAATTATTTTTAATATCTTCATATACTTTTCTTCTATTATTTGTCTCCTACGAAGATCTTTATTCTTTTTAATTATATCAATATGATTTTCTTTCCCTATTTATCTCTATGTTTTGTTTTATCGCCACAACTTTAACTTTTTCTACTATTATATCATATAGAAAAAATAATTATGAATATATTATATTATTATATTAATTTATCAGTAAATATTTATTATATTATTTTATACTATATTGTATTATATATAATATAATACATATTAAAATATTGAAAGTTTGTCGATTATTATATAATTTATTAATAGTATTATTATTAAACAACAATAATCGGTTATTAGTATTACCCGTTAAGGGACAAAAAATACATTGCCATTAGAAAAATATTTATAATCAAAGCACCACCAACTTAAATAAAAACTTATACACTAAACAGTAGAAAATAAAAATATCCGATTGCTGGTTACATTTTAACACATAACTAAATTTGTATTTCTCTCATGGCCGTCAGAATTTTATTTTTATTTTTCTATATCAGATTTTTCTTTTTTTTTTGTTTTTTTTTATTTCAGATGGTTATCTTTGGATTTATTAGTATTATTATTATTTTAGTTTTTTATTATTTTCTAACCTTTAGACAATATAATCATCGGTAATCATTTATTAGTATTACCCATTAAGGGAAAAAAATATATATTTCCTTTTAAAAAAATGACAATCGAAACACCACCAGCTGAAATAAAAACTAATACACTAACAAATAAAAATTTTAAACAATCCAATTAATGGTTACACTTTTAGCACATAACTATAAAAATCAAGTTTGATATGTGAATTGGTTTTTCTCATAATGGAAGTCAATTTTTTTTTTTAACCGTGAACTTGGTTTCCTTTTGTTTTTTTTATTTTTTATTTTAGTTGGATATCTTTGGATTTATTAGTTAGAAGTTTCCTTTTGATCATTATATTTTAGCATATACAATTTCATATAGTTTCTTTGTTTTATTATTCTATCTTTGGATTTATTAGATTAACTTGGTAATTGATTAATTACATAAGACCACTTTATTTTGGACTTTAATTTAGGCTGACGGGAGCATGTTGGAGAGAAAGCAAAATTTGACTTGTAGTAAATTAATTAAATTGAGCTCAAGGAATTAAAGAAGTATTGCCCTATCATTAAAATTTACAGTTAAGAGGTCATTTATAATTTTAACATTAAAAGCTTACCATTAAATTATGGAGTAATGTGGTTGTAACATGTGAATTGGGGTATCTAATTTTGGAGTTATTAGTTAGAAGTTTCCTTTTGATCATTATATTTTAGCATATACAATTTCATATAGTTTATTTGTTTTATTATTCTATCTTTGGATTTATTAGATTGACTTGGTATAAGGCCACTTTATTTTGGACTTTAATTTGGGCTTACGGGAGCATGTTGGAGAGAAAGCAAAATTTGACTTGTAGTTAATTAATTAAATTGAGCCTAAGGAATTAAAGAAGTGTTGCCCTATCATTAAAATTTACAGTTATGAGGTAATTTATAATTTTAACATTAAAAACTTATCATTAAATGATGAAACAATGTGGTTGCGACATGTGGACTTGGATATTTAATTTTGCACCACGTGGATTAGCCTATCTAAATTTACGCCATGTGTTCGGTTGAAAACTCTCCTTTAATATATTAGAGATATATATATATATATAAATACTATTTTAGAATTTATTAGTATATATAGGACAATTAAAAATGTTGTGTTTCAATTGTGTCCAAAAAAAATGTTGTATTGCAACATTGAACTAACAGCCCATCAGGAGTAACCTGAAAAGGTACTGTATCTACATGAATAAAAAGTAAACACAATGTCCATCCATGTCTAAGTGTCACGATACATCAGAAATCAAAAGTTATACTCCCTCCGTCCCATAATTATTGTCCAGTTTTACTAAAATGAAAGATTTTATTTTTGGTCAAACTTAATTATATTTTACCTTAAACAATCGGATATACCCGTACATAAGTAATTGTTTAACCACTAAGATTTTATGGATAATGTTTTTTAGTAAGGACAAATGTATAACTTGATCCATAAAAAGTCAAATTGGACAATAATTTTGGGACAAAATTTTTTGGGCAAAGTGGACAATTATTATGGGACGGAGAGGGAGTATTTTTTTTTTCCTTTTTTTTAGTTTCAGTTTTGCCAAAGAAATGAACAAAAAAGAAAGAGAAAAAAAATTAATGTCCATCGATGATAAACTACAAAAGACCACTAAACCACAAAAGAATGTTCATCGAAAGTATAATTAAAACTATCTGTGTACTACGTCATCATTGATCTATTATAAATGTTCATCATTAGCAAAAAGTTCGTCACCATTGTAATACAGGCTTTACATGTTTCGGATTATATCGGGTGGGAGGATATATTCTTAACCAAACTCTTGACCCTTTGAACAGCTCCAAAACTTATATATCAAAACCGCTACCATGATATGGTTGGCGTTTCCTACCAACGCTTTGTAATAATCTAGATTAGTAGGCTCTTTGTCTCCTTTACTGTACAAAAAAAAAAAAAACCGCTAAATCCAATTATTCCTAGCTGTCTTCACAAAAATAGTAATTGGGGAGTATTATATGCCTTAAAAATAGCTTCATCCAAATAGAAAACAGAGAAAAGACAGTTGCAGGCAGAGCTAGATTTCTTGAACTCTGTTTGAAGACCATAAGACTAGCTTCAATTCATCAGATGAATGGCACTCAGATAGTAACCTCCAGATAGGAAATTGTTATAAAAAAAAAAAAAAAAAACCATTCTATCATGAGATGCTATAAAAAATATGAGGCCAAAGCCAAGAGATTATACAAGACAGGTGAAGAGTACAAATATTCAACAGAATGGCTAGATTCGGCTGCCTGAAGATATGAGTTAAGTGAATGCTAAGCTGGAATGGCAATAAAACAATCTAACAACTTTATCTGTTTGGTTGCATTGAATTGAGACCAAGAATTGGAATTGGAGCTTTCTAATTCCAACTCTTGTATTTGGTTGCTAAAAATATAGGTCCAAGAATTAGAATTATAATTCAAGATGGGGTTCAATTATTTATTTTCAATTCTTTTGTGGGAGCAATTAATTGGAATCCAAATTCAAGGGACTTAAAAAAGGGACGCGGGTCACAACCGGGTCGTTTCCGAGTTCTAACCTAAATGGGTCGCCTTCTCAATCTTTGCCTTTTGCCTTTTTTATAAATTTTTTTTATTTTAAATTTTATTTTCGGGGCTTTCATCGCTTTGCCGCTTCCTTTTTTCTTTGGTTTTCGTTTTTTTTGGCCTCTTTCTCTCATTATTATTATTATTATTATTATTATTTCATATATATCAATTAATAATTATGGACGAAATCAGACTAAAATTAACATTGTATTTTTTAACAAAAAAATCAAAAGTAGCTGTACCCAAAAAAAATTTATTAACTAAATATTTTAGTTTTGGTTTAAAATTTTTATTATATTATGACATAGTAAAGAATATAACATTTTCAAATTTTTTTATAGAAAATTGTTCCATATATACACCTATAGTATAATATATATATATATATATACATATATATATTAAACTATTCATGGTATCTTTTCTCTAAAAATTATGTAAGTTGAGTTTTCGGTATGTATTATTTCATATATAATTATATACTAAAAATAAAATAATTTAAGCATATATTATATACTAATTTTAATCTATGTATAAATAAACCTTAATATTCACTAAATTTACAATGTTATATAATAAATTTTTTTAAATTTTTTATATAAATCAAAACATCAAAAATTAAAAAGTTTGAAAAATAATAAGAGATGAAACCAAGGATGTTTCACATTTTACTTATTTGTGTATTAAGCGAGAATTTTAAGACACAATATTTCTTTTGTTTCTAACAAAAATGTGTACATAATAAATTACAAAACTGATATAGCAAATTAATTAAAAACAATAAAAAATTAAAAATTGTATTAGTTAAAAAACCATAAAGTAGTCAAATGTACATGTACACAATGAATTTATTTACTCCCTCTGTCCCAAAATTATTGTCCACTTTGAGATTTCATTTTTAGTACAATTTGAACTATAAATGAAAACCCAAACTGGACAATAATTATGGGACGGAGGGAGTATTTTTTTGTGTTATACATATCCATAATAAATTAAGGCTTTTTTTTTTTTAATTTTAGTTTTTGACAAGAAGTATAAATTGTACTATTATTAGTTATACAATAACAAACTAATTTCAATTCTAAAGTATCCAATTTTTTATGCATCCAAACGCAAGAATTGGAATTAAAACCTTAATTCTAGTAAATTTTCAAGATCTCCCAAACAAAGAAATTGAAATTGAATTACAATATTAATATCTCATTTTCAATTCAATAATATTGTAATTCTAATTCAATTGCAATTCAATCTAACGAAACGGAGCCTAACACAATTTTCTCTGCCAAACATACTGCCACCAATAGAGAGACCTAATGAAGAATAAGCTGCATGCCTCACAAAAGATGATGCTGCGCAGAAAACTCTTACTAACAACCACACAGTTCAAAGTGTATATAATTTGGCAAATGATCAGAACTTGCACATCAGCGAAGTGTTAGAATAAATCAACAAAGAAGTCAATAAATTCATGTTTGGAGAAACCCATATTGACAACAGCGGTAGCCCTTATTACCTCTGTTCAGTTCACATCTAGAAAGAGTAACAATATGTATCATCTATGTTCCTCTGTCCATATTTAGTCCACACGATCTAATACATAGTTGTTTTAGAAGAAATTCAGAGACCAAACTCGACAACATTAGAATCAATGGAGAAATTCTTACCAAGCACAGAAGCACTTGCAATCTTCTCTCTCCCTCGCGCCAACCCCCAATCCGGTGTTAACTATGAAATACAGAAACTCTTCAACCTCACTTCACTTAAGATTACAACTATGACATGTCAACTCAAAACATAGCAAAACCTGTGATGGACTTCTATAAAGTTCATAATGAACCAAAGGACACATGAATGAAGCTATTACCAAAACCTGCGCTGGACTTCTAAAAGTTCATAATGAATCAAAGGTCACATGAATGAAGCTATGTTTAAGGCATAACATTCCAAAGATGATATAGTCAGAAGAATACATCCAAATTCAAATACTTCCTTGCTACAGAAAGAGTATCCAAAAGCACCAATGATTTGCAAATATTTTATGTAAAACCTTTCTATTTCATTTATCAATTCTAGCAACATGATGGAATTAGCCTCACAGAAACAGAGTAAAATTCAAGAAGATACTGAAGTGGCAGAACTATTCATGAACTCTGATTTTTCCAACAAAATTAAAAAAATTAATCACACAACCCATCTGAAGAAAGATTCAAGAAACGTTGTAAAATCACCTCTGTGACGATCTTCTGTGCTGAAAAATTCTTTTCAGGGGCATTTGATCAACCACCTTTCGGCCCTGTTCAAGCTGCAAGAGCAGAGCAGAACCTGGATAATTTGACCACCTTCGCAGTTCACATAATAAAGCGGATTGAAAGAATCGAAATTAACAAAAGATCGATAAAAAGGAAAGACGACAGTAAAAAGCCATGAATAGAAAGAATCTTCAATTCGGAAAAATATTCACACTTCAGCATAACAACAAGATGGATTTCTATCTTTCCAAAAAACAAAACCCAATCAATCTATCCAGAAGCTACAAGATTTGGGCATAATCTTCCTCATCAAACTACTGAATACCCTACAAATTTGAGTAAGCACAAAAGAATATCGACATGATTAAAAGCACATGTCCAATTATTATTGGATTAACTTGAGGAATTGGGCGCCGCCGCCGCCGCGCCGCCACCTTCCGCCGACTTGGTAATTCTAACGATGACGTATTCAGTGCTGTCGTTGGGAGAAAGAAAATCCCCGGCGAGTGCGTACTCCTCCATAACCCAACGGTCCCCGACGGCCACAGATTCCGACCGAAATTCCAAGGTTCTGGTAACGCCGATGATGACGCGGCTCTCACTCTGCACAAATCTTGGACCACTGGTTTCACACCAAGCACCGCAACCGGCGGCCATGACTTTATCCTCTCCAATTCCAACCCGAGGAATCCTGGTGATGACGCAAATTTGTCTCCCGATGACTTCGCAATCAACGTCCTGAACATCCACCCATCGATTAGCCCGGTCAGACTCGTTCAAGATCACCCATGGCGTCGCATTACTTCCGAAAAGGTCCTTCTCGATTAGAAACGGGTTCTCATTCGGGTGACCCGTTACTCTGTGCTTGAGGAGCATCAGAAGGACTTCTGGTGTCGGTAAGAAGCGATAACACGGTGGGACGTCGGACCACCTTAGCGGACGGTTTCGGTTACTCATTTTCTGCTTCTTTCTGGAAATCAAGAAACCAGGATTTTGACAAATGGGATTTTTTGGAATCAAATGTGACTGAAAATAATTTGGCTACAATTCTTTAAGAGGGAAAAGTTAAGCAGAGTGAATTAGCAGCCCGCCTTTCCTTAATTCAAAGCTATTTTCTCCTCTTAATCAAAACCAAAGGAAAAATAAAATAAAATAAAAAAAAAACCTATTTTATTCTCGCTCCATCATCAATAAATAGAGTAAATTGTTTTCAAAAAAAAAAAAAGAGTAAATAGTAGAGTACTAAACACTAGGAGTACTGTACTGTGAATTACTTATTATTTTAGTAATTTTAGAGGGTTTTTTTTTTCCTTTCTTTTTTTAGCAGAAGAGTTGTAGGTTCATTCATTTACTTATTCCCTCCATTTATTCGGAATTTCTTTTCACGTCCATTGCAAATGCAGTGGAAGATCATTATCAACAATTTTCAGACTCTTCAGATGTCGATGTGGGACACCCTTCATAAAAATGATACAGTTAATTTAATTCCACAGGTTTTACTAGTGTTAAAAAAATTGTTGAAATCAATGCAACATTACATCTTAGGTCGGAAATAACCTTCATACTATTGACAATTACATATACGGGATATGTTTTTGTTTTTGTGGTTACTGTCACAAGGAAAATCTATTCAGTAGCCTTACATATACTTTCTTCGTCCCAAAATTATTGTCCTGTTTGAATTTTCTCTTCTAGTACAATTTGAACTAAAAATGAAAACTCAAACTGGATAATAATTTTAGAATAGAGGCAGTATTATCTATGCAAGGAGTATGTTCCAAAGCTCAAAAAGGGCATATGACTCCAAGGTGTTCGATCAAATGGTGTTGAAACGATAGTTTAATCAGGTGACTCGATCATCACGCTTCTTTGATTATTTACCCATTTGAAATGTGCATTTACTGACTTGTGAGAAATATTCATTTGTTCAAAAACAAGTTTACATCATTTGGTTTGGATTAGTTATGCCTCTTCATGGTCCATTCCTTAATATAAGGCATTTAAATTTGTCATATATTTCACCTAATATATATTTTTAATTAACAAAAAAATTTAAAAATATATTTAAAATTTTTTTGTTAATTTAAAATTCGTGCTAGGTGAAATTTAGGATAAATCAAAATGACTTTATATTAAGTACCACAACGTAATATATGGTACTTCTGTCCTTCATATCAATCCTATCTTATTTTGCCTGTTCCAAAGCCATATTCTACTCTGATCCAACTGCCTCCCTTTTCATTTGTCCTTTAATCGTGAACTTTATTGATGTTCATAGCTAGAAATATTGGTTCATTTTGAGGAACGCATATGTTGTGATTATAATCTGAATGACGATTAGGATACCCTGTTAAGGATACATCTGTTATGCATAAAATTTCATTTATTATTCCTTTCGTTTCGAATCCAATTTTAAATTTTTATTTTTAATATAAATTATATTAAAAATTATATTAAAAATTAAAAAATAGACTGAATTGTCATTTTAGAATAGAAAAAATACAACTCATACCGGAAACAAAACTCTAAACCGGACAAAATGACGCAGAGCAAACCCTATAGAAACAAAATAAACAGAGCCTTAGTCTCCTATATATCTTCCGATTGGTGCTCATTTACCGAAAGATACATCATATTATTGGTCTTAAGAAAATCATATTATTATTATCCTTGGTCCCGTACATTACATCATATCTGAACTGAATTCAAAAATCAAAACTTTAATAATATGATTAACTTGATAAGTTAATCACTTTGATTAGTTTGTCAAAAAGAAAAAAAGAAAAAAACTGAATTCACTTTGATAAGTTGATTAACTTGAAATCACACTAAAATCAAAGTAGGGAATTATTCAATTGCAAATGGAGCCATGCTAATTTTAGGAAGTACTACACCGTAAATAATATGAATTTCATAATAGATCGCAAACCGAATTATTTAACGACTTCCGACAATCAATTGTGTAGTGAGGAGCCATTAACACCAAACTAGTACGACGAAAATCATGTTAAAAGGTTTGTGTAACAAATCGGTTTTAGAGAAATTAGATATCATTAGGTAAAGTGGACAATAGTACAATAGGGACACCATTAATTTACTCCATCCAAATTACTGCTAGTACATATTTAACTAGTCGACGATCGACACAAAGAAACATCAGGGGGAAAAAAAAGGGAAAAAAAAAGATCAAAATAAAACACGCACACACACACACAACAACAACAATTATGAAATCCCAAACCTCAAGAAGCTAGTAGTACAAGATTTGGAAATCCCACTAATTAAACATACTTAAAAAAAAAAACTACTAGTACTCTTCAAATATGAGCGTAAAAGGACCGAAATCCCCTCCCAAGAGAAAGAGAGGTCTAAATATTTTCCCCCACCCCTTCATCATAAACGAAACCCTTTCCTTCCACCCTCTCCATCGGTATCATCATCTAAATAAACCTCAATTTCTCCCCACCTATCACAGCGATCTAATCCCCATCTTCATCATCATCAAACAAACCTTCATCGTCATCAAAACAAAACTCTTAATTTCTACTCACCTCATTAAAATTATTATCCATTTTCCTAATCAAAGGCGAATGGGAGGCAAAATATCTTCAAGTAGACGCCGCAAATCAGTTTTTGGGATGACTCTAAATGAAACAAATCACCGGTGCAGCTTTGTTGTTGAGAACAAAATAAGAAAAGTCAAAAGATAATGATGATTTTGGTGATAGAGGTCTCTTAAATTCCACTATATTGTTGGAGAAGGGTTACTGTTTTCATCCTTTGGGGGATTCATTGATGGAGATAAATTGTGGCAGTGATGTGTAGAATTTTGGATTTGTACTATAGTAGTGGCTCGTCTGGGCCGAAAGTGCAGTTGGTATAACCGACATATATTAGGTTTTTTTTTTTTTTTTGAAAAAGGACATATATTACTTGATTGAATTATGAATTGAAAATTTTCTAACTAGGTTAAGGTCTCTCGTTCCGTTAACATACTTAAATTCCGCTCGAATGAAAAAAGTTGTTTTTATTGTCTAAGCGTAAGATTTAACCATTTTAAAAAATATGTTAGGGTTTAGTAAACCAGGTACTATGATTAGAGTATGAATTTTTAAACTTTTCAATTCATTTAGGTCTAGTTTACTTAAAAAATGAACATAATTAAATACGAAACGAATGAATATGTTAAACTATTTTTTTTCTTAGCTTATGGTTTCAGCATTCCAAACTAAGTTAGTGTTTAGTAAACGGCGGCGATAATATTAAATTCGAACGTATCAAAATTTGGACATTGTATATGCAACATTGATCCTGAGCTTGTGTTCTCCAACTGCCCTTGGGAGCAGTACTTGCGTCAGTCATTAGCAAATTCTAAATCCTCAAAGCATGAGCGAGAATTACATGTACGTACAACCTTCCATAACTCCATTTATGTAGCATAGATACATACTCCTCCCGTCCCATAATTATTGTCTAGTTTAGGTTTTCATTTTTAGTTTAAAATATACTAAAAGTGAAATCTCAAACTGAACAATAATTTTGGGACAGGGGAAGTACATTTCTTGATTCTTATTATAAGATATTTTTTAAAATTTTTCTTATAAGTAGGTTTGATCAAGTTTCAAATGTACTTCTATATTATCAAGAGTACTTTCCATAGTATCCCTCTATTGCATAGTAACAGATTACTTCATTGAATGAATAGTTAATCAAAAAATGAATGGACATTAAATAAAGGCAGGGGAGAGCGAATCGCCGGCGAGTCCATACTCCTCCATAACCCACTGATCCGCGGTAGTTTCTTCAGATTCCGATTTAAATTCTAGGGTTCTCATGGTTCCGATGATTACTCCATCCTTGTTCATCGTCTTATACCAAGCTCCGCAAAACAGCAGCCATGACCTTGTTGTTATTATGATTCCTTCCATTTCCGGCGACCTCGGGAATCCTCGTGAACACGTAACTAACTCTGCTGACAATTTAAGGGAATAGGGCTTTCGGCCCGAAAATAAGTACAGTGTGTGACTATGTGTATATAGGCTTAAAATTCCAATTAATGGAGATGATTGCGCCATGAGAGATGGAACCGTGGAGCGGTGGTCTTGTAGAAATTCATTCACCAATCACATTAGCCATTAAGAAAGAACAGCTTCTTCTGTGAAAATTGGGTTTTATGGAAAGAAAATAGTGGAAAATACTCGCTACAAAATGTACTGATTAGTGAGAGCGAGAAAGAATTTCATTCCAACTGCCCATTTCAGAAAATGGAGGTATTATGTATTTATGTACAAACTACAAAAGAAATATTGATGCATCCCAATGATTGATTGATACTACAACACAGGCAACTGATGAATTACAATCCTGATGAAATTTGAGATTCAAAACTTCAAATCTTCATTACTTTTCACTCAAAACATGTATATATATGTATATTTCACGATCAACTAATTGAAGAAAATTCTTTTCAAAAACGCTTGAAAAGGGTTCACTATTTTTTCACTCAAAAACATGTATATATATTTCACGATCAACAAGCTAATTGATCTCTGACAGGTGAAATTTCTTCAAATATAGGTAGTCTTCTTGGTCTCAATGGTGCCCACTGGCTCATCAACTGATCAAGACCTTTCGAGAAAGCATCTTCTATATTATTAAACCCAGAAATAGGCGAAAATTTTGATTTACAAAGCTCCAACTCCTCCAGCAGTTCCTCTGCTCGATCCCTCGATTTCGTTTCATCAGAACCAGGAATCTTTCCCTCAATGACATCTTCAAGAACATGTCTTGCTTCGGCGAATCGGGCTTGCCTCATTAGGCACAGGCCTAAGTTGCATGCTTTATTGGCATCGGGGTCCATCTCCTGAGCTTTGCGATATACAACCTCAGCGGCAGCAAAGTTCGTTTTCTGCATATAGGCCCAACCTAAATTCCCCTGCAATTTTTTCACATATAAAGGCATTTAGCATAACTTTTAATCAAAAGCTTGAGAAGTAATTGAGCCATCTAAATTCTGCTTATGTCCCAATGCAGCCAATGGTTTCATGTCTATCAATGGAACCAACAAAAGCCAGATCAACAAATATGCACAAACATGTTGCAACAGTTCCATTTATTGGTAGGCCATTCCAAAATCAGGCGTGTAGATAACCATCAATATTATCGTTTTCAGTAAAACTATGTCGATAATGAGATATGCACAAGAACTTGTGGAGCAAAATGTAGAACTACACACCAGTATCCTGGAGGTTTCCTGCCTGACAGTAACCTGGAACTTTCTTCCATGTGAGCGAGCTGTCTTGGTAGGTTTTCCGTTGAATGCCTCTCCTTGGTTAATCATCCGCAACTTCTGTTTAAGCAGTTCAATCTGTTCATCTAGCTTTCCACATTTCTGCAAGAGAAAAATAAATACATTGAGAGAAAAATAAATACAAACTATGTAGCAAAGTGTGGCAACTAATTTCAAGAAATCCATTCTAACCATTTGGTGCCTGTTTTAGCGTTGTATGTTAAAACATAGCTCTTTTCAATAGCCCATAAATTCTAAAGCTCTAATCAGAATTATCCAAGGCTGACATAATGATTATACATCACAATCAAATTAAAATTCAAAGAAGTCAAAGGATTATAAATTAAATCAACTTCTGCCATTACCTTGTATAGGTCTATAAGGACATTATCTAATGATTCTTGGGCTTGTTTGGAGCATTTGTCCCTGAAGGACTGTATAGCTTCAATAGCTTGTTCAGCTCTATCCAGCTGTTTCATGACCACAGCCATATCTTTCAAGGCACTGTCTACTCTGTCTCCGACATTAATCGCCTTCCAAAAGAAAACAATTGCGGCTTCTGGATCTTTCTCAACTAACTGTTCATTCAATCGAAGAGCAAACGTTGAGAATAAGGTCGGCAAATGCACAGTATAAAACAGAACAGTAAGTAGGGATGCTGAATTGGTATCAGAATTAGAAGCAAAAATGCAAAAAAGTTTCAACGGCTTACACAAAAGAAGAAGTTACAAGATTACCAAGCAATTAATCAAAGCCTAATGCCAACATAACATGTGAGGCACAGAATAATCCAAACCAAAGTAAAGATCTTTTAAAAAAGCCGGAGGTGAAACATTTGGAAGGTCATACAACTAATATCAGGGCCTCATACTCAAGTAATGAATATCCCTTTATTAAGCACCTGAATCCATTAATGAATAATGTACAAAAGACTATATTATGGCTGCTAAATCAGGAAGAGAAAGTAATCATGGCTTATCCAAATAGAGAAAACAGGAATGATCACTGTATTGGAAAATAGAGCTGAATTTCGAATTGCATTCATCCAAATAGAACGAAATCAGAGTCTTAATTATGGCAGAATCCAAGTAAATAAATGAGCAATTTCAACACTTCCCTTATTTAAAGAAAGCATACATCCCATACTACAATGGAAAAAAACACCACCACAGATTTAACTCAAATAAGATAATCAGATTAAACACACACAACAATCAGGTGAAAAATGCAAAAAAAAAAAAAAAGGACCCTCAAACATCTATGATCAAAATATACATGTAACTGAAAATGAAGAAAAAAGTAAGAATATAAAAAAAAAAACCATACTTGGTAATATTTGGCTTTGACATAAGGACTATTTCCAGATGGGAGCTTATGAACAACATGGAAAGACTCCTGCTTCTTGTTGTTGTTGCTGTTGTGGTTGTTGTTGTTATCTCCTTTCTTCCCAAACCCATTGTTCTTCATCCTTTCTGTTTCTCTGTACCTTTCTCTCACACACACTATGTGTTTGTGTGTGTATTTTCTTTATGATGATCCAAAACTGATCCTTTACAAGTTTTCTGAGCTTTTCATGAAAAGGGTTTTATAGAATTCATCATCTTTAAGGTTTATTGACAATAAAAGAATGCCCAAATGCCCAATGGGAAAAACAGAGAGAAGATGGAAAGATATGATCTTTGGGAAGAAGAAATGAAAGATTGTATGGAAAAATTTGACCCCCTTTATTTGTTCTTCCTCTTCTTGTAGGGGAGATCAAGTTGGCAATGTGAGAAGGGAATGAATGTAGACGGGGATACGGGCAGAAGGGGTGTTTTGAGACTTTGAGGTTGGATTCTTTGGTAGTTAACGACTTTTTTTTTCCCCCCTCATAAAGGGGTATATTTTAGAGTCGCCACGTATGTCATCGTGATGCTTTTATTTGGCTTCTTTATACTTATTTTGGATTTTCTCAGATTTTTTCTTTTCTTTTTTTCTTTTTGGTTAAATTCTATGGGCCAAAAGAACATGTAGTAAAATTTTCCATTCTTGTGTTTTGCCCATCTTTCCTTCTTATTTTCTTCGAAGAATAATAAATTACAACTCAACAAAAGAACTGATCACTGATGTTACACCATGCGATATGGAAACATTAATAAAATAAAATAATAATAATGAATTAAAATAGTATCTGATCATTATAAAAAAAAAATGACACTCTTTTCACTTTAATTTAAGGTCTTTGTTTAAATTGTTTAACACTACATCCCGAGCTCTTATTTTGAAATAGGAATTTTCTTTTTTTTTTAACTCATTGTTTAGACTAATCGCACTTGGATAGTTGGATTGAGTTTTTAATGTTTACATGTGGTATAAAGAAAGTAGCTGATTGATGTATTTAATTTTTTTTCCTTAGTTTAACAAAAAATTAATATATTATTATTTATAAATATTCATTTCAAAATTAATGCACCATAACATACAAATTTTGTGATGTGCTGTCAGGGACGGAACCAGGGGGAGCGAGGGTGGTCGGCCGACCCCGCGGTCGGCAAATTTTTTTAAAAAAATTTGCCTTATAATTTTTAAAATATTTTTAGAAAAAAAATTTATATATGTACTCGATCATGTAAATATTTGGGGCTCGTTTCGTCATTGTGTGCTGCTATTTTCCATACATTTAATCTGTTTACAGTCTCAAAATACATTTACATGCTGGTTATGAGAAGAAAAATAAAAGATTAAATATTTTGTATTTTAATTTGAGTAATCATAAAGATAAGCCTTCATTATAAAAATAAATGTATCCTTGAGGTCAAGAAATTTCATGACTCCTCATCAGCATTTTGTAATCATAAAGTTCAAAATTTATAAGGTGTTTTAGGAAGTTAACCATCCTATAGTTTTTATTGCTTAGTTTTTAGTAAAATACAATAAAAATAACAATCATGCATTTTAAGACGAAAAGAGTATATGATTTTTTCAGCCATGAAAACAATAATAAATAGTACTCCCTCCGTCTTGATATTATTGTTTAGTTTGAATTTTCATTTTTAGTATAAAAGTTAAAGTCAAAACTAGACAATAATTTTGAGATAGAGGGAATAAGGTGTTAGGTTAATTGAGTGTAGAATTCATTAGAATTGTCTCTTCCAAAAAAAAAAAAAAAAAGAAGCAAAATTATGTTACAATGACATCTTTTAGTTTAAGATTGCTTTGGCTAAGTCAACTTCCAATATTCACTTTTTACTTTTTAGGTTGGCATTGAAGCTTTGACTTTAGTCACCATGAATCAAATTTTCTTAATCTCTTGAAGACTTGAACGATATAATGTATGTATATGCGACGCAAAATAGGATAATCTTTTTATCTTTCTGTTTTCTTAGGTTTTTTTAAAGGAAGTTGCCATAATAATTGGTAAGTTATTCCCTGTATCCACATCTATATTAGCGATTAAAATACCGAAAGTAAAAATGTAAAATAGATATCTTTTTCGAAAGCAAATAACTTCAAAATAAGGTTGCTTGCAATTTTTTACATGAGGCAAAATAGCAAGCCATTTCGATTGGCTCTTCATCACTAGCCGAAACACTTATCTTCACTTAGATTTTCGGAAAGGGAAAAATAAAAAATTCAGATCTAATTACAAGATATAAATGAAATTGAAAATGAGAAAAGAGTACTTTGCTTTTAGCAGCTAAAAGCAAAAACAAACCATCTGCAATTATTCCTGGTTTGCAGCAGCAGCAGCACCACCACCACCACCTCTTCCTCGTCCCATCCTACCGCCACGTCCACGACCATAGCCTCGGCCGCCAACCGGGAAGCCTCCCCTGCCCCTTCCATATCCTCCTCCTCCCATGCCTGACAAATCATCCAACAAATATTGGCAGCAATGTGTCAGTTGTGGTTGGGTGAATTCCACACATCTTAATCTTTAGTGATAAGAAAAGCAATATCCGTTGATTAAGGAGCCTGAAATTCAGCTGCCAATGCAAGCTCTCTTTTCTTATCAAGGAGTGACAAAATAAAGCTTGGCTTAATGATTTTCCCATAGCTCACTTGTCTTCCTCTCTATTAGTGGACACAAATGGTGGCTTAGAACAAATAACAAGTATAAACGAGTGAATGGGAAACTATCCCACGCCAAGACCAATCTCCTGAGTAATAAGCCTGCTAGAACCAGAAAATAATAGAACAGATTAAGAAACAAAAAACTTTACCGCGGTAACCCCAGCCCCTGCCTCCTCGTCCACCTCCGCGTCCATAATCTCCCCGTCCATAATCATAATATCCAGTATTCTCACCTGACAAGATAAGTTGGATCAAATCAAGGGACAAAAAGCAAACAGAGATAACAAATTTGAATAATGCAAACATTCCAACCTTGATAACTTCCATAACCACCCCTTCCACGACCTCTTCCTCGGCCTCTTCCTCTACCTCTGCCCCTACCTCGACCACGGCCACCATATGATTCTGGAAATTCGGATTTTGACATCAGAGGAACTTAATTAGATATCATGACATTATACAAATTCATGTACTGCCATAACCCCATGAGCCAAAAGATAGAACAGTAAATGCATACCAGAATTACAAGAAATGTCCATTCATTATTTACCTGTGTTATTTTCTGCAGAATTAGCTGCTTGTCTGGGTTGTGCCAGCTGCTGATTTTCACCCCTCGGCTGCTCTGAGTTAGAGGGCTCTTGGTATCTACACACATAAAGTCATTCAATTACTAGATATGACTCCCAGGAAGCTGTAAAAGATAAATGTCATCCCAGACATAAATATAGTACTACCAACATTTACCCTGGAGAATTCTTGTTAAGCTCCTTGCTTGACAAAGTAATAGAAATCAGGGATACCTGACGAGTCATCTCCAATCTGCATAGTCATACAGAAAAGAGTAAAACCACTGCTTTTAAAACAAAATGAAACATAGAACCAAGAAAATGCTTAAAGATTCTCTACATCACTTTTTAGATAACACTCGTTGAATATTTGGCATGACTATGTAGTTTTAGTACTACATGAACCACAAGAGTTAAACTATAAAGAAAGCAATGCAGAAAATGATACCAGGATCCAAAGCGCAACAAGATCGTTTCAGTACTGAAACTTTCCAAATCAATATATCCTGAAAAACTTACTGTTCAAGTCCCTCTTCAATTGGCTCATATGTGTCGGTTATGGTTGTGGAGCTAATAGAAGTGTCTTGATATAAGCCAGGGATTCTCTTCTGTTTAAGAGGAAATTAAAGAAAGAGGGTAGCCGTCATGATCACAATACTTGGTAAGGACAACAAAAGGGGATATAGTGATACCTTTATTATCTCTGCTATAGCCACTGTCTTACTGATTGCCTGGCCCATTGCCTTCAAAACAATCTCTTGTTCCCTTTTTTCCTAATCAATCATTCAAGAAAATTTTCATCTCACTATGAATATATATACATTAAAAAACGATGAATGATATCAAATAAATAATTATATGCACCCATTTTCCAACGGAAAGGGAAAATAAATCATTCCTACAAGAAAAAAGGTCGCAAATAAAAATCAGAAACAGACAGCACAAAAGAGGCCGCCAAGTGAGAAGATCGAACAGGTCTTAATCATCAAAATCGTCCCGTCATAGCAACTCAGTCATGGAGCACAATGTGAAACCATAAACGAAACCACTCACGTGCACTTTTAAAAAAAAAATAATTATGTTATTCTCCTAGGGAAAGGAAAGCAGTTTACCCTGCTTCCCCCCAATCATCTCACAGTTTGATATAATGACAAATGCAACTTCCATTAAGAAATGCTAGTCCTAAAGGAGAAGAAAGGTATTCAAAATCTTGTACAATGCAATACTTCAAGAAAATGAAACAGTGAATCTAACAAAAGCATTCACAATTACACCATTTGCGACCATTACAGAATTTAACAAGTCAAGGAAAAAAAGGCAAATAAAACCCAAAAAATTCATAAATACTGAAATAGAAAGAGCAAAAACACTCCCATTCATCTAGCCATTTGATCTTTGTCATTTACCATTGAACGAACTTAGTCTCTCAAAATAGATAATTCTTCTTTCCTTGTCCCTTGACTACTTTTGGCAACAATTTGAAGCTTCAGGACTCTTTTGATACATAATAAAATTTGAACTTGTTCCTTATATATACCACTATATCCTTGGAACTATTGCTACTGTAATATGAACCAGGACTCCCAATCCTACCTTATATATCAGAATCAGTATCATAAACATACACATGGGAAATTTGCACCAACATAACCAAAAAGGTTAACTTAAAGACAACTGCAGAATTAAAAATTCTCAAGTGTAGAAATGCAATTAACTATGCACAATCCTCAATCAGCGATTCCCAGTGGTGAACGAACTACTAAAGCTAGACATATTTTTACTCAATTGAACCAAAAATGTTCCAATTTTTGAAGCAGGGCATTCTTAATTTGCAAAATGGTTAGCTGATCAATTTCTATGACAAATGCTAACATGAGACTGAAGGCCCCTTGGCCAAAAGACTAATTCTTTATCCGCACAAATGTGGACACCAAGTAAGCTATGCTTCTTCGGCATTTTCAAACAGACATACACGCCGACACTCCACAAAGATCAAATCTTTTCAACAAGCTAGCTCAGAATGGGAATCTCACAGGCTGCCGAAACCATGAGCTCGTTATGATTGAGAGCCATCAATAGGCTATCAAAGATTCGATTTTTATGCAACTTTTCATCCAATTAACGGAATCCATTTCACAAAAAACGAAAACCCAAGTCGAATAAACAACAAACATAAAAATCCACAAAAGCTGAAAAATTAACAATACAATAAAAAGAAAAAAATTGATCTTTTCCACGGACCTGAAGAAGGGTAGTGGCATAGCTAATGTAGTTACGAATGAGACCCTGAGCAGTGATTCTGATTTCATTCTCGTTAATGGGTTCTTCGGGCCTTGGCTTCTCCACTCTCTGGTACCTATCCATTCTTCTTCCTCTCCTCCCCTGGCTCTCTGGCTGTCAGGTGGGGGTTCCTTCTGGAGGGTTCTAGTGTTTCTTCTTTTTTATTTTTCCTATCTGAGGCCAAACGGTAAAGAAGAAAAGATAAAGTGGGAAGGTGGGACTGTTGGATTTATGGTGGCGTTTTTATACTTCGTATGGATGATGGATGAAGCGTGTTACTTGAGAACCCTAACACATAAGCTGACTTTACTATCCAAAATCTACCACCTCAACAAACAAACTAGTCTCTTTTTTCTTTTTCTTTTTCTTTTTTTTTTCTTTTAGAATGAAAAAAAATATATTTTGAAAATGGCTCTTATTTAAAGGGCTTGGATTGAAGCAATCATTTTTATTTTTTTTTTGGGGCAGGAAGGGAGAGGCTTTATAACACCTAATAAGGATAGTGTGCCAAGATGTTCATTTGGTCTTGATATCATTGCTGAAACACAATTCGTTTTGAAATAGACTAAGTGCAAACACATTATGATGAAATCAACCCCCAAGGTTATTGGGTATTTGTGTGAATCAAGAGCTTTCCATGAATGTCTCATCTCAAACTCATTAGTCCATTATATAGGATACTAATATATACTCCTTTCATCTCAAAATAATTATCCTGTTTGAAATTTTATTTCTAGTCTAAATAGTGCTAAAAATAGATATCCAAACATGACAATAATTTTGGGATGAGGGGGAGCATATATTTTTTTCAATTAGGTTAACCTTGCCAAAATTTGAGTCTATGGTACACTTGAAAAAATCAAAGTATCATATATGACTGTTGAAGTTCCACATGTAGTCAGCAGCGTTAAGAGAACCTTTGTCCTCTCCTACTTCAGGTTTGCTCAGGTAACTATGCTCTCTTAGGGGACCTGGGAGCCTGACAAAATGGATATCTGCAATCAGCAACTCAAAAGTATGAAGAGATGAATGAGAAGTTAGCATTAAATTAGATAAATTATCCTTATCCTTCTTGAGCTAATCAGTGACTTTCTGCATCTTCAAATCAGAATTAGGCCTACACAAGAATGAAGTCAGGGAAGAGAAACTCTTGCTGAAACCAGAAAATGGTAGGATGGAGTATCAGTTGAAAGCAATTGCCGTCTCAGCGCCCACGGTCCTGCTTCCTACGCCCGGTTTTATAGCAATTCATCCGGTTGCTGCTTATCAGGCTGCAATGCAGAAGATGGATGTTTCCCCTTGATGCGATTTTGTCCCAATGTAGCAAATTCCTGCAGACATCAACACTTGAAATTAGGACTTTCGGAATATCTCTACAGCTGACAGAGGGATCAGTATATCTGAACCATAAGTATGAAGAATGACAAGCATGACAAGAATGGACTTCAACAAACACGACCCATATTTTGGGACGGAGGGAGAATGACAAGCATATCAAGAATGAACATCAACAAACATACTCTCATTTTTGGGACGGCGGGATCAGTATGTCTGAAGAATGGCAAGCATATCAAGAATTAATGGACTTCAACAAACATGACTCAGGCAGGGTTCAGTATGTCTCAAGCATAATAAGTATGAAGAATGCCAAGCATAACAAGCAAAAAAAAGAATGGATTATGTGACAGGCATGAGAATAGAATTTGTAGTTATGAAGAATGATGAGGAAACAGAAAGATACCAAAATGTACAAGCTTTTGTAATAAGTCTATTATGAATGCTACCAATCATGAGCTTCACAAACAACTCAATCGCAGCCAAAGTTGGAGCTCAATTTCTTAGAACTGAACTGCTGCAAGTTTCTTTGTAAGATTGGTAGGAAATTTTGAAACAAGGAAACCGTAAAAAGGTCATGCATAGCAAGCCTCTCTCTTTCAGATATCACTTCTTGTTCAAGTGATATCAATTGTATTATTCAAACTGAAAACTTGGTAAAAATTCTAGGCTCTCCTTCTTCCAAATCTGTAGTCATATTTTGCTCATGTTTCTCTGACTCCTCCGCCTGCTGTCGGATGCCTTCCTCATTTGTATTAACTTTTGCTACATCTTAGGAGCAGATAAAGGCCGATGACGACAACCCCACCAACAATGCTAGAAAACAACAAAGGACAGTTCAGAGCAATGGAGTAAATTCAACATATTAGTGTGGAATTGCATGTCAATGTTCATTTCATTTACCTTCCTACATGTAGCTTCTCTCCAAGAGCAAATAGGCCAGAATTGCCACCAACAAAGTGGATACTGGATTAAACATTGTCACGAAAACTGGTCCTTTTTGTTCGGTGCACCATAGTTGAATGAAGATTATTATAGCAGAAGCCACAACTCCCTGAGACCATTTCCATCAGTTGATTAAAAGAGGCAACATTATTTCATTTCAACTCAGATAATGTATCATTAATTTCAGCCAAACTTACTCCATATAGAGTAGACCAGAAATCGATGTTGAAACCAATAGTCCAAGCAGCTCTTTTGTGATTCACAATAACTGTATAAACTGGTGATTGAGCTGCTCCCACAAGATTCATCCATGCTGTCAGTGACAACTGTGCTGGATATCTAGTCAATGTATAAGCCTGCAACATCCATAAGATGAAACATTGATCAAACCTGCATAATGTACCACATTGACCATGTTATGCAGCTTGCTACAATGTAAAATTGAGCCCTTCAACCACTCTTCTTGGATTTCAACACAGGGCGGGCAGAACAAAAAAAATGATCTTTTCCCTTTGCATTTCATGAACCGAAACAAGATGAATGCTCAAAAACGGATTGGAGCATTCCTAAATATATAATCTCCAAGAACAGGGCTAATGTCAACTTTGGCGTTCTTTTCCTGGAACACAATCTCATTTTGATCAGTCCTTATTAAAGGCCATGCATTTTCAACAAACAAAAAAAGGGTTAAAATTTACGAGAAGAAAAACTTAAAAACAAGCCCACATTCATTAAACTCACTTTTCAAGAAAGTAGGCAAAATGCAGAATCACCAATTATGCAGCAAGAGTCTCTGTAAGTTGTATATAGACATGAGGATTCATACCATGATTGAATGAAGCCTGAGTGATGAAATACAGAAAAGTATAGCCAATTTGTGCAAAAATCATGAGAAAATGAGGCTGAAAACGCCGCCCACTAAAGAGGACGATTTCATGGCCATAGCTGAAGTTCTGTTTTTCTTCCAGAGCAAATTTGCTTGGCATTCAAGCCATAATATAGAGAAGAACAAGTGGAGAAGTAGGATTTTGATTCTTATTTTTTTTTTTGCATCATATGCTAAACATTATTGCCTCAATTATGATTCAGATTATGATGGGATTTTCCTGATGTCTTCAATTCAGATTATATATTGAGTTAACATAATTAGGAATATTTAATTAGTGCAATTCAAAATTTTTGGCAACGTGATTGAAGTTCAAAATTGTCTCCAACTTTTAACACTCTAATAAAGTATACCCGAATCTAATGCAATAATGTCATTTTATGTTTGAATCAATTACTGTCTTTAAATTACTGAAATGGTAAAGAGCTATGCCTTATATGGATACTATCTCTTCAAAACTTATGGTACAGCCACGTAAACGTTTATACCTAAGCCTACGGAATGAAGATCGTAAGCTGCTCAATCGGTGGATCGTTTTCAATAATCGTTAATGAAAATTTGTTATTTAAAAAAAATAAAAATTAATAAAGATCGTAGTAAAAAAAAATGGAATACATTTTCCTTTTGGAATTTCATCATACTGCATATAGAATTTTTCCAACTCCCAAAATATAAAAAGCATATCTTGCATGGAAGACAAATATTTTGAAACTGATGGAAATACATTTAATTTTGACAAGAGTGACATTTCATTAAGAGCAGAGAATATCGAAGGGGCTTGACGGCCGTTAAAAGAAACTTGTGGCTGCCAAAATTTGTAGAGAAAAAATAAAAAACTATTAACGGCCGTCACATATATAATGCCTTTATTTAAAACCCCGCCAACGTTCAGCCTTATTCCACGTGTTCCTTTAATTAACCAGAGCCGGCCTACCTCCCTTTCTACTTCACCACTCACATTTCCCATTTCCACTCAAAATTCAAAAAAAATAGACGAAAATAAACACGCACTCACACAGTGGTTTGATTTTCAGTGCAAGAAATTCCTCAATCCCTTTTGAATTGAATCCGCTGCGATGGACGCAGCTGCTACTGTTCAGCTGGTCTCCGGCGGAATCAATTCACTGAAACGGACCACGAGGCGGCACCGTCTCACCTCAATTAGTTATCAGCAGCGGAATCAACGATTATGGCGGGGAATTAATACGCGCAGCGGCGTCGTGCGAGCAATCGCGACTGAGCCAAGGCCGGCTGGTACAACTAAGCCGTCCGATTCTAAAGCTTCGACTTCTTCGCCGCCGAATTCCGTTAATGGATATAAATCATCTGCGGCCTCGTCGTCCAGGAAAGTTAACGGTAACGGCAACGGAAGCTACACTGTACGTCACGAATTCCATAAAAGTTAGTTAAATGCAGCTAAGAAAGATTCCCGACCTTTTCATTTTTTATCGCTAGTTAAGGAAAACTGCTTTTGTGATTGTTTAATTTTCAACATTATTTTACTGAGTACTGCGTACAGTGAGGTTTTGAGGGAAATTATTGTTGAGCGTAATTTGCTTGTGTGTAATTTGGTCTGAGACTATTGCAGAAAGATTTGGTGTGGTTTTTCATTTGCATTCTTTAATTTGTTTATAGTACAACAAAATTTTAAGTAAAAAACTCGGGAAATGGTTAACAAGTTATTTTCTGTATAATCTATTTATTCTTACTTATGTTAAGTTTTAGTTGTTGATGGTTTTGTAAGCCTTTGAAAGTTCGAAATTTGGGTAAATTGCAGAGAATGCAAGAAGTTTCTGACGAGATCAAACGAGTGAGGGCACAAATGGAGGAAAACGAGCAACTGTCAGTGTTAATGAGAGGGCTTCGAGGTCAAAATTTGAAGGATTCATTGTTTGCTGATGACAATATCAAGCTCAAACTGGTCGAGGTTTGTCCACGAAACCTGAGTTTAATTTCCGCAATGTGATTTCTTTCTGTGATCTCTGCATGTAATTTATTCATATGCGTGATGCTTTTCCCTGGTTATCTGAAGTAAAAATCTTGGTTTATTCAGTAAGATATTGTTGATTTTACTTCTAAGCTGTATGAATTGTTGATTTCTTATTTCCAGGTAGACGAAAGCAGTGAGGGATTACCTTTGGTGTATAATCCTGCTAGCATCTCTGCATATTGGGGAAAACGACCAAGAGCTGTAGCGACAAGAATTGTCCAGTTGCTATCTGTAGCTGGAGGTTTTCTATCTCGTATAGCTGCGGATATAATACAGGACAAGGTCAAGGAGGTATGGAAAGAAAGTTCTAGAGAATTTGAGTTTATTCAAATCCATGGGTCAAGCTATTATGCGTTTCACGTACAATCATATGTGATTATCCATGACCGTTAACGGTATCGTGTTTATTTACTTATCATCTAATATTTCTCCTGCTCGTTTGTTGTCAACAATAACTAGAATGAAGTCGCTCGAGCTATTGAGCTAAGAGAGATTGTGACCTCTTTGGGACCTGCATACATAAAGCTTGGACAGGCATTGAGCATCCGGCCAGATGTATTATCCCCTGCTGCAATGGTTGAGCTTCAAAAGCTTTGTGACAAGGTGAGTGCCAGTTATCCATTTATCTAAATAGTTTACAAGAAACAACAAAAGAATAACTCATGAAACATGATGCAAAATTTGCATGGGATATTTTTTCCCTTCATGAAGTTTGCTTGATGATTTTTAAATCTACTTTCACCATTGATAGTGTAATGATTTTACTGTCTCAAGTTGGATTGGATCCACATGTTGGCTAAAATTGAGGAAGTTCTTAGAATATGGGGAACAGAATAATAGAGTTAACTCCCTGAATTTTATTATTGTTCAGCCACTCTTTTGCCCATTAAGCAACGGAATTCGTGATTGGTATAGGTTCCATCGTTTCCCGATGACGTCGCAATGGCACTTTTAGAGGAGGAGCTTGGACAGCCTTGGTATAACATATATTCTGAACTTTCTTCATCTCCAATTGCTGCTGGTAATCTCTGTGGCAATGATCTTCTATCTAAATCATTTAGTGTTCCTTTTTGTTACATTTAGTGTTCCTTTTATTTCCACATTGAAGTATCTCATCACTGTTGAAAACAAATTGCAGCATCTCTTGGACAAGTGTACAAAGGCCGGCTTAAAGAGAATGGGGATCGGGTTGCTGTAAAAGTACAGAGGCCTTTTGTTCTTGAAACTGTTACTGTTGATTTATTTATTATCAGAAATTTGGGCTTGGTTCTTCGAAAATTTCCCCAGGTTTGATTTAGTCATTTGTATTATAACTTCTATTGTTTATTATTTCTACTTTGAACCAAAGAAAGGCATCGACAAACTGACAACTTCTTATTGTTCCATCTATTCAGATATCTGTTGATGTGGTAGGATTAGTTGATGAATGGGCTGCACGTTTTTTTGAAGAACTGGATTATGTTAATGAGGGAGAAAATGGAACGATATTTGCTGAGATGATGAAGAAGGATCTTCCGCAGGTAACCTGAACTATCTTAACTGTGGAATTTTCTTAAATACACAGTTTGTGAAGCAGTGCACTTACCCAGAAGGAAAGTTTATTGCAATCTTTAATATCAGATAGATCAGTTATTTACAGTCTTTTGAAGTAGATTTTGTGGCTGTTTCTAGAAGTAAGATTTTGAGGCTGTTTCTAAAAGTTTAGTTTTCAGGTGGTTGTGCCTAAGACATACCAAAAGTATACATCGAGAAAGGTTCTTACCACACAATGGATTGACGGAGAGAAGCTTTCGCAAAGTACGGCAAGTGATGTTGGGGAACTGGTTAATGTGGGGGTGATATGTTACCTTAAGCAGGTCGGCTCATTTAAGGCCTTTATGTCAATACATATTCTTGAACTGCACCACTTGTTTTTCTGGGTAAAGCCCTTACGTTGGGATCCAGGGGACTGCTGGTCTGATTGAAAACTGGATACGGTAGCTTTGCATGATGGTTAACTTACATGGCTAATGGTGTCAAATTATCCTTGGTTGAATATTCATCTATATGAAATAATCTCTCAAGAGTTTGTAACTGGTTTGCCATTCAGAAATTTGAAAAAGTTTATAGCGTATATTTATTTAGAAAGGTAACTAGTTAAAGAGGTGAAGTTGTAGCAATTATAGCAGTTGGTGAACTTGTGCAGAGAAATCAAATTAAGTAGGCAACTCATTCAAAGAAGTGACCTATATCTAATCTACATGAGTTTCTTCTTTCTATCTGTCTTTATTTAGTTAGCCAATAGTATTGATGCCAAAAATAAAAATCTTTGCTTTTGGAGCTTTTATGTCAGTCTCAGATTCCTATTGGCGCGGAGTTCCATCATCCTTGATTGAGATTTTTTTTTGCTAGGCTTGCTGACTCTACAATAATCAATTTACATGTCTTTTACTCTTGCCTGCAGTTGCTTGATACTGGTTTCTTCCATGCTGATCCTCATCCAGGAAATCTGATTCGTACTCCAGATGGGAAATTAGCAATACTTGATTTTGGTAAAGAGTTCATTTTTTGGTGTAAATTTTTATCTTCTCTTCCTGACCCGAGTGCTGGCATGTTACATGTCTTGTTACTGACTAAAATACATTTTTCTATGAATTCCATGAAATGATGTTCTATTATTGTGAAAGTTGCTATTTTAGCATGTCTTTAATGTAATTAGGCATTGTAAAAACATGTATATATTATGGCATTTTCTAGTCCCTCGAATTTCCCCTTGCTGAACTACACCTAATATAAACTCTGTATGCTCTTTGCCTGGTGTGTTTTTGGACTAATATCAAAACCGGTTGACATATACCTGGTTCAATGATACCCAATCTTGTTTTGTATGTTGGTAAATTTGACTCTGATGTGATAGTTGGAATATGACACAGTAGACATTTGTTTCTTACTTAGGACAGAGTTAAAGTACACATTTTATTTCATTGTGAGTTCGGCTGAAACATTAATTTCTCTTGCAGGCTTAGTTACAAAGCTTAAAGATGATCAAAAGTATGGTATGATAGAAGCTATAGCTCACCTTATTCATCGAGACTATTCTGCTATTGTCAAAGACTTCGTCAAACTTGAGTTCATTCCAGAAGGTGTAAATTTGGAACCTATCTTACCTGTGCTGGCGAAGGTCTTTGATCAGGCATTGGAGGGTGGTGGAGCAAAAAATATTAATTTTCAGGAGCTGGCTTCAGATTTGGCCCAAATTACATTTGATTATCCATTTAGAATTCCCCCTTATTTTGCTCTTATTATTAGAGCAATAGGTGTGCTGGAGGGCATAGCTTTGGTGGGAAATCCAGAATTCGCCATTGTTGATGAAGCTTACCCATACATAGCACAGGTAAGGGGACATAACCACGTGCGTGCAGCACATTTTAGTTTTGTTAGTGTGCACTCATTACTTTTCCCAGCTTTTTACTTTATGTATGAATGCAAGAAACATGTTTAGATGAAAAAATATATCCTGAAGTGATTTAAATTATGTCTGAGCTTTTCTATAGGTCCTTAGCAGGTTTCCTTCTTTCTGACGGGTAAATTCATGCATGCAAGTTCTGTATGGTCACAAAATCTTTGTCGGTTATTTTCAAAACATAATCTTTCCCCTTATAGAGCCATCCCTAGAGGAATTTTGAATTAGGAGTTGGGGAATGGAGGGAAGTATTTCGTCTTAGAAAGTTTTATACTTGTTGTGTGACAACTTTGTTAATACTACGCTCCGTAACAACATTTCTTTAGATTGAAAATATCCTCTCTTTTGTCTCTAATGTTTTCCCTTGTTGCTCTTTTTTAGGCTTTGGGTCACTGGTTGTTGTAGTAAAACCTTGAATGCTTGACACAGTTAATTAGTCTTGTCCTTAAGAACATGTACATTTGTTTTTGAATATCAGAGGCTCCTGACTGATGAATCTCCACGTCTACGGAGTGCTTTACGCTACACAATATATGGGAAATCTGGTGTTTTCGATGCTGAACGATTCATTGATGTCATGCAAGCCTTCGAGAATTTCATTACAGCGGCTAAAAGTGGTGGAGGAGAGAGTTTAAGTGGGAGAATGGCAGAACTTGGTGTTCTACAAACTCAAACTAGCTATATGCTACCTGGAATTCCAGCTAGAATCGCTCAATCTCAGCAGCCAGTTCAAACTAGAGCTGCGCTAGCATTTTTGCTGTCTGACAAGGGCAACTTTTTCCGAGAATTTCTCTTAGATGAGGTAAAGCAGTTTATTCTTTTATGGATCGATTTGTTTTCTTTTTCCCCTTTTTGTTCTGTTTGTTCTTTTCTCCTCCAATTTGGTCTTATATAAGGTGTGTACATAGCCTAGCCCAACTGAACTGTTTAAAGTTGGATTTTAGTTTCCTCTGCATCCTCGGGGAACAAACTCTTAGAGGCCATTGGATGCACAAAAAGCAACACATTAATAAGCCTTTATCCCAGTAGGTTGTTGGATGCACAAAATTGATCTTATCATGAGGAGATAATGGAAATGTGAGAGCAGATCTGAAGTCCGTGTTCTCATTTCAGAACTGGTTGCATTATTTTTTGTTGGCGCCTTTAAGAAACTCGGCATATCACATGGTTGCATTATTTCACATGGTTCGGGCATGTGCCTAGGAGACCGATAGAGGCCCCTGCAAGGAGGGTAGAAACTAGAGTATCAATAATTCAAATTAAAAGGGGTAGGGGTAAACCTAAGAAAACATGGAAAGAAACTATCAAAAATGATTTGAAATATTTAATTTGACGGATGATTTATGTACCGATCGAGCACGATGGCAGCATATTATGATCCATATAGCCAGCCCCAGCTAGTGGGAAAAAAGCTTCTTGTTGTTGTTGCCTTTAGAAAACTTGGCATATCTATGCAGCCAGTGGCCACCAGTGTGTCGAGGTCATGGAGAACTTTGAAAGTAAAGATGTACTCCTGCATTGTTAGGCAATAGAGGCTGGACCTTAATAACAATCATTAGGCATTACCACTTATTAACTCAAACTCATCTATTTACTTCACATTGTTAAAAAGTTGGAATTTTGCTCTCCCCGTCCATGTCATGCGTGCACACTGTAATAAGGAATGTGGCATATGTGACCTTGCTTGACTGAAGGTCAGATTGTTGGTGAGCAGAAAAATTTTATCATTTCAAGTCTTTTGATGCTGTGCCTTTTAATTGGGTTTTTCTGCTAAGAATTACCGTCGGTATATGTTGTTTTAAATGGTCGCATGTATGCAGATTGTGAAAGGAATTGATGCAGTTACAAGGGAACAGTTGGTGCGGATAATGGCAATCATTGGCTTTCCAAATGTATCTCCCACGTTTAGCATGGTTCCTAATCTGGGGCCTTTTAAGCCAGCTGCACTTCTACCAACTATAACTGAGGAAGACAAGGTCATATTAAACAATGTCGAAAAAATTATTGGATTCTTAACTGCTGGAAGTATAGCATCATCCAATAAGGTAATGGATTCAAAATGTCACCAATTTATTTCCAGCAGAGTGATAATAACATAGCTATGTTTTTCCTTTAATCTGTTGAGTACTGGTATTGACTCATGCTCAGGATCTGATATAATTTTCACGATATGATCTAGGAATGGTTGAAGCATTTAAGTAAATGGCATTTTGCATATGATCTTACCCTTGATAAACATTTGTCCTAATCTTCCGTCATTTTGACAGGGTGTGGATGTTCCTCGAGTTATCCAGGAGCTACTTCCTATCTTACCGGGTCTCTCTGCCACAGTTCTCCCTGAGGTACTTAGTAGGCTATCCTCAAGGGTTATGGCACGAATAATTCGAGATACACTTTTGTGAATACTCAACCTCAATGGGAACTTGTTCCAAGTTCAATCTGGTAGTGATCGGAGGGATATAGAGATCAACACATACAAATCAGAACATGTATTTATTTTTTTCCCCCTCTTTCATGCTTATGACCTTTCACTAACTAGACACAGGAATATATCCTTGTAAATTGTACGAACATTGGATAGAAGTCCTAGCTAACATCACATCTCTCTTTCTCTAGACTCCACTCCTGTAATAGTTAGGTCCTTAGAAAAATGAAGAAAAATTATCATTGCTTCTGCAATTGTGGAGAAATAATCTTGCATATATCTATTATTGCAAATTGGAAATCCTTCTGAGAATAGAACTCACAATCTTGTTCACCTCATGGTCCACATCATAGCCAATTCCTCAATTGTGATGCCAGACCGGCAATGAACATTTCCCCTGAACTCATGAAAAAACTTGTATTACTTACTAAGATTACGAGTTTGAGGGACCATTACATAAAACAGCGGCATAACTAACTTCCTGAAATCTAACCCTGGGAGGTGTATCGAAGATATCTGACACAACAATTTACAAATCCTATCAACATCTTCGGTTAACCCCTTGGATTCACTTCGGTGCAGTCCTGGATGGTTGCCATTATTGAATTTAGGCAGTCTGTACCAACTTGAACGAGCTGTGATTCCCATCTTCTGTGGATCTTTTAGCAAAGCTAGACAACAGAATTATCGGCTTACCATCTGCAAAAAGTGATACAGAGCTTTTGTTTATATCAAGAGAAAAGAGGAATGCCCTGCTCTCCCGAAGCATAAGAAATGATATTCTTCTTCAGGGGTGAGATGTAATTGGCTCCATGAAATGCAGCAGCCCGCAACACGTTAAGCGGCCCAAAGTCAACCGAATATGCCTTCTGAAAACCATCAAGGACAGCCATCATTGCTATGTTTGCAGCTTTCCTTTCTGATTCGTATCGCCTCAAGAGAGATATCTGCCAATGTAAAGTAGAAAGACTTAGCAATATGATCTCTATGTTATGTGAAACCAAATAATAGTGAATGATCAAAGTAAAAGTAGGAGGAATAACCAGTTACTAAAAAAATTTCAATTAAGTAGGTGCAGAGGCAATAGTTCGAAGTAACGGAAGTAAAAGTTAGCTTGAACAATGGCTCTTTCACAGGGGTAACGTGACATCACTCCCTAGATTTTTGGCAGCGTGCAATTTTTAAAAAAATGAACAGCTACTAGTAAAATCTTGAAGCCAGATAACCAAAAGATGCAGGTTTTGAGAAAACATTCTGAACTGAACGGTGAATATGATGTATAAGAATTATACGGTGATTTTCCTTGATCTCATGTGAAGTGAAGCCAGGACTATACAAGCGTGTACATACCACTGAGGAAAAGCCTAAGGAGACAGCATATCTTACTGAGGAACAGGTAAACAAGATATTAAAGTACCTCCCCAATATCCGATCCTACAGCGACACCTTCAGAAATGACCCTGGAAAGAGAAGATGCATCTCCAAAACCCATATTGACTCCTTGACCGGCTAATGGGTGCACAGTGTGTGCCGCATCACCAATAAGAGCAACCCGCTTTGATACATAAGAGTTTGCATGCATTAAGGACAAGGGAAACACCATTCTCTCAGAGGCCAATTTAGTTATTCTGGGAGGCACTTCAAACGGTTCATTGGCTGATGGTGTAGTATCTAATTTCAGCCAAGAAAAAAGACCCCCACCGCCTTTAGTTTCAGATTGAGGATGGGGTCCATGTCCATAATCAAGAGCCTCATTAACTGCTTTTAGAAAGTCTGCCTCATCCATTGATCTACATTCAGCAGCTTGTTTGGGATCCATTGTCCAAACAATATTACTGAAGTTGTCTCCAATAGGAAGAAGTGCAATGGGTCCAGAGCGCAAAAACCGTTGCCAAGCACACCGGTTCTCTACGGCATGCTCCACCGTACAGATAATAGCATTTTGAGGATACTTCCAACCAGTCGTTTTAATTCCTGCCAGCTCCCTGACATGCGATTTTGATCCATCAGATCCTACCTGAGAAAGAATAAAACATCAGGAACAATCAAATTTTTTTAACGATACCATATGACAGAAATCCTAGTGACGGGAAAAAAAGGAAGAAAATATCCGAAGCATGTTTTTCCTTACCACCAACTTTGCATACAAAATGTCTCCATTGCTAAGGTTCAGCTTAGCTACATTTGCATGGGGCTGCGAGGATACATTGTCTGATTTCAATGAAAAGCTTAGATCCAATGCCGATAATCTAGCAGGATATATTGTCTTCTGCATGTTTGATTCCTGACAAATATCACATTATCAGTCATTTATTTCATAACCCTAAATAAAGAATGTAAACAACCTTGACAGAATTTTCTGGGACAAGTGCGTGTAATAGGGGCAGTAAAAATGAAAATTAGAAATAGCTTTCTTTATTTGGAGGCCTCTGTCCCTACTCTTTCCTTTTTGTTTCTAGTTCCCATGCTTATCGGAATGCAAAAATATTAAAAGTTAAAAAAATAACTTCAAGAAGAATAAGCAGATCATCTTTGCAGGTATCTATATTGAAGACAGCCAAAAGGACCCGTTTGAGACGGAGGGCTCCTCTTCGATATTTTCACAAGACTTTCAGCTCATTAAGCAGGAATTATATAAAGCAAAAGCAAAAGCAAAAGCTTCTTCACAAAACAATTGACAAAAGATAATGTCAAAACTCAGTATTGGAATCAACTTGGGAAGAAGAGAATTTGGGACAAAAGAGAACATCAGCAATATACAAAGTATCTCATAGAGTTAAGCAAGTAGCCTTCATGATTGAGGAAGAATAGGAAGAATGAATATCGTTAGTAAAGGTTTAATACCTCCATGCACGATAACAAGGCTCTGTGAAGCACTTTGTTCTCCACAACACACCTGGATGAAAAGCTCAGATATCATCTGCGAACAACAAATGGAGGAATGGAAATGAAAAACAAAAAAAAGAACATTCTCCTTACCCAAGGACTTCTTTATCAACATCACCTGCCGAATATCTTGTATATCCAAGGCCAGTATAATCCCAAACCTGAAGAGGAGCAGATCATTGGTTAGAAATGTATGCTTCTGATAGCATACTTAGTAGTCCATGACATCTAACTAGTTCATATTACACGCAATAGCAAGTTTACTTATTTGGAATAAATGGCTAAATTGAACACAATATCAACGAATTGCGAAAGTAAGAGCTGTCTGCAGTATAGAAAGTCTAGCATACGCGAGAAACATCTTCAGGAACAATATACAACGAATAAAGTAAAAAAATTGTTGTTAATATAAACATTAAAAGCTCTACATCTTCAGACATCTAACAGTTTTGAACTAGAAACGTTAACCGTTCACGGGAATATGCAGACAGACAACCAAACAAAAGGAAAGAGTTATGGCTGTAAATTGATCCAAGTGAATCAGCTGGAAACTAAAAAGCTTTGGAGTACAACTTCAGAAAAAATCATGTCATGCTTCATAGAGTACAGTAAAAGTCACTAAACCATTTGATTGCTGGATGCCATTTACCAGTAAAGTGAAATTTATGCAAACGAATAAGACAATCCTAACTGTTCTAACTCGTAACATTTATAAATCCAATAGGGCCTCAGCTCTAAATTCCACCATATGAGACACACTAGTTTACCAAGAAAGCTAAACGTTAAGGAACGAATCAACTTCATATGATAAGAATATTTAAGAACCCTGATAAGCACAAAGAATGAGGACTGTGTACCTGCATCCTATCAAAGAAAGCATGCCGATGCAGTTGAATATATTTCCATGCACCCATACCTGCATGGTGCCGCTTCATGGGTCAAGGATGAGTCAACACGATAAAACCAAAAAAATTTCACGAGAAAATAGGCTGAAACTATAAACACTGCCCACATGGCACAGCATCAAATTCAAAAGTGAATATGGTTGAAATATTTCAAATACAAGATCGAACTACATAGGGGTCTCCAGCATCTCTTAGAATCTATTGGATTTGATAACAAAACATAAGCTTCCCACAAGAAATTTGAACAGGAACGACCTCCTGAGTTTGAGATAAAGCATATTTGAAACGAGAAAACAAAATAAATAGATAAACTGTAAAACAAAATTGAATACGAGATAAAATATATTATAAAACTCAGTTAGCTTGACAATGAAATTTGACCTCAAGATTAACTAGGTTATTTATTTTTAGCTCAGGCCGTCCAATGCTTAGGCTGTATATTCAACTCGTAAACACACTTACGATCATATCAAGGTATGCAACGTGCACAATAGTTGGTGGTTATAGTTTCACTTTCATGTTTTGTAATACTACTTGTTGGCATGCATTCTTATTGCTACCTCTTAGTTAAAAGAAATTGAGCTGTAGTGTACTCATTTTAGCCTTGTCATAAGATTTGACTCAGCAACATCAATAGGTCAAAGGCAAGCCTATATAGTGGTATAAAGCATATTTGTTTTAGCTCTTGCAGGGAGTATCGGTGAGGGGTGGAAAAGAAAGAACTGAACTTTTACATGCTCAGCACCTCATGACATATATCTAGAGCTAGAGTTAGCATGCAAAATGATTGCTACTTAGACACGGGGAAGGGACAGAGAATGAAGTCATATTACTCCTTCTTTATGATGGTTGAACACAAGATGATGAGTCTTCTGTGTCAAGCAGTAAAATGAGAGAATGCAGCAAAAAAGAGGGTTTAAAGAACTTGGTGCCTACATCAAATTTAGATAGTCACAGTTTTGATTGTAAACAAAATCATAATCTTTTGAAGATCGAGTTGAGCATGAGCGTGCAGGTAGGACCGTATGAAGAGTTATTTTGGATTGAAATAACATAGGAATTTATACAAATGGCAAAAACCATTAATAGCACAGTCAATTAGACTCCTTTTTGTTCAATGTCAAATGTTAGTTGTGCAAAACAAGAAAGAGCAAACTATAACACAACAAAGCTACCCACTTCCAAACTATCAATAGGCAGCAGCAACAACAACAAAAGAAACAACGACAACAAAGTCTTATCCTACAATTTCTATCGACAATATGGATCACATTGCACCATCTTGTTATGTGGTAAATTGATTTGTTAAAGTTTTACCTTTAAAGAAAGATATAGTTGCAGGAGTCACCGTACTGACTCTAGGATCAGGGGGATCCTCCTTTTTAATGGAACCTCCAGCCATCAATGCAGGATTGCTATCAATTAAGGCTACATTCAGGTGTTTGGTCAATGGCATGGTAGCTGCACAGCATTTTGAAAGCATTAATAGAACCGGTGCTCCCAAAAATACCTCCACTAAACTAACACAATGGATTTCCAAAATTAAAGTAAACTTTCAAGCAAAATATGGTTCAATTACCCAAGGAGCAAGCAAGAGCCACACCAACCATGCCACCTCCAACAATGGCAACATCATACTGAGGAACATTGTCGGTTGAATTCGTCTTCTCGAGGATGCCCTGTACATTTATAAGGCACAACCTTACTCAAAACCACTGTAAACAGTAAAAGTTGGAGAATTAATCGAAATAAGACAATGCGGGGTACAATTAACTACTAAAAGTAATCAATTAAAACAATACGTGCCGATAAATAGCACAAAGACAAGGATGAGAGCTACTAACGTTATAACAAAACATAATAATCCCTCCATCCTGTCTTTCATGTCCATATTGGGCAACCAAATCATACAGGTAACATTAGGACACAATTAGCAATTGATAGTGATTCCAAAGGAAAGATGAAGAAATTACTGTAGTGGCTGAGTGATTATGTGAAGCATTCAACAAGTCACTTGTGGCAGCGCTGAAAGTTCGCAACCCATACTTCCTTATAGGCCTAAGAACCTTGAAAATTACCCTGCATCCAGAAGAGAGAATGCGAACATAAACAACCCGAAAAAGTCATCAATCCAATGAAAAAGATAATCAAGCTCAGACTCAAAGTTTCAGATTTAGGGGCGCCGTAACTCTAACCTTCAAGACCCTTTCCCTCAGTAATCATGTAATACAAGGAAGCACACAAAATTCTGCCATTTCTCAATTAAACCAGCTCCATAAAAAATTAAAGTATCCAAAGATTGCCAAAACAAAACTCGGTCCAACTATATAGCCGATTGGCAGACTACACATTTCAACTAAGGATGCAAGGCCAGTACAACTACCCCCAATTCGAGCTCCAACAAACATAAACATGATCAGACAAATGGGCTAAAGGGATTTTTTCAGGAAACTTCAATGAGTCCCCTTTCGACTCTCGTCACAAAAACCAGTTTCAGACTACAAACTTACCACGCATTAAACCCACAGGCAGACCACGCACTCTCACATAATTACTCTCAAAAGTGGCAACCGCCAAGCCATATGAAAATTCCAGCTCGGAAAACTTCCTTCGGTTTCCCCTTTTGTTTGTTTTTACCAAATTTCGTGGCCCCAAAGAGAAAACAAATCATCTATCGACTCAAATTGAGAGATGAAAATTTTCAGGAATATTTTATTAAAAATCCTAGCAAATATTAACTTGACATAACCAAATTGAATAATTACGAGGAAAGTATAACTTTTCAGTAGCAGTATAACCAAATTCCGGAATGTATTGAGATCGAGGCCAGAAATTTTACCTGTTCATAGTGATTCTTCGTTACTCAGAGAGAGGGAAGAAGAGCAAGAATGTGAATTTCGATCAGCTGAAGCACTTCGAATTTGCTTCAGCTGAAAAATAGATGGGCCGAACTGAAAATTATCGGGCTAGAATCTTCTCAAAGAATTAGTTAAGCCCACCGGGCTTTACTAATAAGTTCAAAGTAGATTAGGGGATACTACGTGATAGGCTGTTAGCTAATTGTGCCCCTTCTACTTTTATTTATTTTTATAATATAATTAATATTATGCCCGCACGTACGGTAATATAATATGTTCGAGTACTAAAAGATTATCAACAATGTGTTTGTAATTTGTACTATTTTTAGTTAAAATCATAAAATAAATATAGACTAACTTTTTGGGACTTGAGAAATATTTCAGTTTAATAATTCTATGAATAGAAATCAGTTGTGAAAAGATTTGTATAGGAGTGAAGAAAAAAAAATACTCACAATAATTAACTTATGCTGTGAACTAAAAAATTGGGGACAAAACTGAGAAAAGTTTCTTCGTAGTCTCTAAAATGAAACTTTTCTTCATTTTGTCCTCGTTGCAAGGATGGTGTGACGTTTTAGTTTAATAATTTAAATATTGTAACACTTTTGTTAACAAATTTGTAAGTTTATTCTTAAAGTAATACCATATACAATAATATAATCATATGTTTATGAGTTTTTTGTGTCTCCTAATCTCAGTGTTTTCCACAATTATATCTATTCCATAGTTTTGCACCAACCGAAGTTAATTACTTAATATTGAAAAGATGGAATGGTTTGAGCATGTATACTATACTATTCTTTTATAATTAATAGTCGACCGGTTGCATCATACCAAACATAAAGATTTTATAATGTAGATTTCATGAAAAATTGTAAATAAAATATTTAAATGTAGCAAGAACATACCACTTGAGAGAGTGATGGCTTCTAATTTTTATTTGTTGGTATACCCAAACATGTTACGTCTGAAAATTATCTTATCTTAGTTAGAAATTGGTAGTCTATTATCGGAAGAATCCCTTAATTTATGTGTATTTAGTTTGTTACCATTACATAATCATCTTGTCTGATCTAGATTTTAGAGAAGTGCAATTGAGATCAAAACTTTTAACATCGATCAACTTATCGTTTAGTATGCTTGAACAACTTATACCATTAAAGATTTACTGACTGTATATAGTATTATAGAAACTATTTAATGAGTTAATAAACTTTTTCAAACTATCTAAGGCTTTAGAGGGAAGATAGAGGAGTTGGTGAATCTTGGGAAGAAAACAAACTTCTCTGATCAATCACCGTAAATCATCACTGATACAATTATTAATCATTCCATCATTATTTTCTTTATCGTTCAAATTATCAAAAGAGTTTGAATTGAGATAGTATTTATACTAATGGTCAAATTATTAAGTCATTGGACAGGTGAAATCTTCCTTTTTTTGGTTGATTTAAGCAAGTTTTTCTATTGTTGTATACTTTGATAAGAACTTCTTTAAGAAGAAAACCACGTAAGAAAATAAATGAGATTAAAAAAAAAGGGCAAAAGTATTAAATGAGATATAAAGAATGACAAAAGTACATATTTTGATTACTTTACATTGATATTTCTCAATCGAAAAAATTTAAAATTACTTCTGATGAAACACTCAAGAAATGGGTTTATGCCGAATAAATTGTACGAAAGATGAAAATCATTAGATATTTAATTTCTTTCAACCGAATTAAATCTATATGAAAGATATGATAAAATGAAATCATACAGTAATGAAGGAGAATTTAGAATGTTTTCATACATTTTTAATTTTGGTAATATCAATTACTTAGAAAGAAAGAGGGGAAAAAAAAGGAAGTGATCCTATCAGGAACAAATTCTTAGACATGTCAAAAAAAGAGTTTGATTTAACTTGTAAAGATAATAATTAAAAATAATTATAATATCTATAGTACTTACTTAAAACAGCAAACATTAAAGATATGTGTCAGCACCACAATGAAAATTTTTCCTCCAAATCTTCTCAGCACTTCTTAGTACAAATCCGAATGAAGCAGAATGCGACACGTGGCTTCATATATTTGCAGAAAATTTTAGAACTGAGTCCAGTTACAACACAGCAAATCAAACTGAAAGTTTTTAAATTGAAAATCTCCCATTTTAGGGCAGTAACTTATCTTAAAAATTCAAAAGGCCCATTTTAATTTCACGATCAGATCCCTAAAATCACTCTGTTCTCTCACCGCATCATTTTCAAAATTTAAACCTTTTGATCAAATCCCTAAAATCACTCAGTTCTCTCCTCATCGTTCTAAACAATATTCCTTTTTCAGTCTATTCGACTACATAAACCCACCTCAGCAACGATGATGAAGATTCCATTGAAGTGTAGCACCACAAAACACCAGAAAAGGCCTCCATTGTTCCTCGGGAATTATGGAATCATCGGGTTTGCGTTCAGATCTATACTTTTGGCATACCTAACCCCCGCTTTGGAGTAGATTCGATCTTTTTGCCGGAATTTTTTCATGCCAAATAAGAAATTTTCGACAGAAACAGAAGACAACAACGGCAATAGGAATTTTTTTTTTTTTTTTTTGGCTGCAACATGTTAGCCACCACCTAAACTTCTTTTTTTTTCCCCGTCCGTCGCTTTTTTCTTTGAAACATAGTTTCCTTTTCAATCGTAGGATTATAATCGTGAAGTTGAGGTTTGCTCGAATTTTTGTTTTTGTGAAAGAGCCTTCCGAGAAAAAAATTGAGTAATTCAATGAGGGAGATGAAGATATTGAAGTTGATTTTGAAGATCGCCGTCATAGAGAGCGGAGATCGGCTCATCAGATCTGTTTATAATTCAGTATTTTTTTTTCTTTTGGAGTATTTTGGTCTACCTTCATTTATTCAATGAAATCTTGAGAAAAATTTAACCTTTTCTTCTTTTTTTTTAATTTGTTACTATATTTATTGTATTTCTTCTAAAGTGTTAGAAGGATACTGTGGTAATGGTATTGAATAATGGTTGCAAGTGGCAGGAGCTTGGGGATATGTGGGATGGAGGGGTTGAACAAGGAGGATATGAAAGCGTTGCAACTCGATTATGATTTCGTTAAGATCCAGATGGAAGCCGACTTGACTGGCACTTTGTAGTAGATTATTTTTGGCATGAATAAAAAATCCCGATGACTCAAATAAGTTCTTAAGTAATTCCCGTAAAATTTCAGAATTCGCATTTTGATAATTAAAAGTCTCTTTTTTATTTAGTCCTGATTTTTTGAATTTCATGGGGATTGTGGTTCTGCGCTCTCCTTGGAAGAAAGGAAGGAGGGTGCTCAAAGGCTTCAAAGATGAAGGTCAAATATGCACTAAGAAAAGCAACAACAACAAGTATTCTTGGCTACGGGGAGTTTTCAAGGTCTGATGTAAAGGTTTGTATTAAATTATTAGATTCTGGATCTTTTCTTTTCTTATTTATTTTGGATTTTTTAGATTACTTAATTAGATTGAATGGATAACAGATAAAAAACATAGTTTCATCTAAAGCAATCACCTATCTCTGTTCCTTTAATTTGACTTCTTACTTTCAGCTTTTGTTTGGACATTCAGGTTTTTTGGAGGTGTATTTCGAATTTATATTGTTGGTATTTTTTCTGGTATGGACTGAATTTTTCCCTTTTCTTTTAATGGTATCGTCCTTTCAGATTTTGGGTTTTGATTCTTCCATATTTGTTTGTTCATATGAGGGAATAAGGAAGGAAAAGATTCTTTGTTGCACGGGCATTTATGCATTAGTTTTTCAATTTTGACTCATTTTGATCACAGATAATAAGGTCTGGATATGTTTTTCCTATGCCATATGCATCAGTAAAAAATCTTTACCTTTCTGATTTTTTACCTTTGTATTAACCCTATTAGAATGGAAGTGATTGCTCAAAGAGGGAAAAAGTCATCCATTGATGAACTTGAGTGCCTGAAATGGTTAAACTCTAAGAAGCCCAATTCGGTTGTGTATGTATGTTTTGGAAGTATATCCGATTTCACTGTGGCTCAATTGCATGAAATTGCAAAGGGTCTTGAGGCGTGTGGCCAAAATTTCATTTGGGTTGTCAGAAAATACGTGGATGAAGAAGATAGCGAGAAATGATTTCCTGAAGGATTTCAGAAATGAATCAAAGGGAAGGGATTAGTTATAAAAGGCTGGGCTCCCCAGCTTTTGATACTTGAACATGAAGCCATTGGTGCATTTGTAACTCATTGCGGATGGAATTCAACATTGGAGGGAGTGTATTCTGCGGTGCCTTTGGTGACTTGGCTTATGTTTGCGGAGCAATTTATGAATGAAAAATTGTTGACTGATGTTGTGAAGATTGGTGTTGGTGTTGGAGCAAAAGAGTGGGGCAGAGTTACAAAAAATATTATCAAAGGAAAAGACATTCCTAAGGTAGTGGAGCGGATTATGGTGGGTGAAGAAGCTATCCGAATTAGGAGAACATCTAAGGCATTAAAAGTGGCTGCAAAGAAAGCTGGGGAATAAGGTGACTCTTCCTATTCCAGTTTCAATGCACTCATTCAAGATCTAAGTGCGTACCGGTCAACCACAAATTAGGCTAGATTAAACAACTTTAAGTTTTAAAATTGACTGAAAAAAGAAAGATCATTTGCCTTGGATGACCTTCACCACCAAATTTCTACTATCCTCTAATTATTTGTGTTTTATATTTGCAGCTTAAATATAACGAAATCTTTTGGCTCTCCAACATTTGGCTTCCTTTGGTGAAGTTAAAAAGGTTTTTGACCAAAAGATATGCAAGTGTTGTAGTTTTTCTAAGTTCCAGAGTTATATCTGATCAAAGTCCTTGGTTAAAGCCATGCGGGGATGGGATGATAAGAAACAAGTTGATGATTTTTTTTTTCTTGGCTAATCTATTACCCAAAGACAGTTTATAAGTAGACTGAAATTAGTACTTTTGGTTCTTTTTCAAACTTATATTATCTTTTTATTTCGTCCA